AACTATAACTTTGAGAAATATCGAAGACTTCAACCCCACATTTTTTAGTGATAGAAGAATGTCGCCAGTAGCAGAACTTGCTGTGGCAATAGCATCTGCCGCTGTATCAATTACGGCTAAAAATTAATTTTGATTTTTAAAATTAAAATATATTTTGCTAGTTTCCTATGAAACAATTATGTACAGTTAATATCAAATAAAAAATAGGTATATGAGGGTTAAGAGGAAATTTGGGGATTAACAGGATATCTAGGGATTTAGGAGTATTAAGGATGATATCTGAGAAATAAGTCTGATATAAAACGAAGATTTGGAAGGGAATCTCTGGTTCTATGAGAATTAAGGCAATTAAAAGCGGACTCAATCAGTTTTTTGGCGCCGCACGTGAAAATTTTGAGAAACTTGGAAGGACAAAAAATTCCCGATTTTGCAGGAAAATTTCGGAAATTGGGAACGGGAATTCCCTTGAAAAAATAAATTCCCGATTTCGGGAATTTATGGATTAGGTCGGCAGGATTCCAGGTGTTCGAGTAGAGTTCTTTAAAAATCTTAGGGAAGTGCGAGTACAAGCAAATTTTTAATTTTCAACCATTGACGGTACCTAAAAAGTGGTATCTGTCAAACAACTCCCTCTATCATTTGGTCTAAAACTTTTTAAAATGTATCTTAAATTGAGAGGTTGAGAGAATTAATTGTTTTTATATGTATCTAATGGTATAGTTGTTTTTTCTCGAGTGCCCTAAAATCAGAGTATCGAATAGAAATTTAAAACCGTCAATCTTAAAACTATAAAAGTTGTTTTTTTAAGTACATATTTTTCAATTAATATTTATAAGAGACGTTTAGAAAATCTTAAAAATTTTAAATAAAATTTTAAAAAACAGAAAAAAATATTGAGAAAAAAATATTTGAAATACAAAAAAAAATATTTGAGAGATAAAATTTAAATTAATAAATTTTATTTACAGTTGGAAGTTGAAGTAAGCCCAGTTTGTAAAGTGTTGTCTCCATTTGCACAGCTCAATAAAATAATCAAAACAGTCGACAGAAGGAAAAACTTCCAACCCATTATCTATCACTAAATTTAATAAAAAATATTAATAAAATTTTAAAATTAATAAAAATTTTAAAAATGATTAATAAAATTAAATTAAAATATCGCATTTCGGAAGGAGAATTAATAAAATAATCGTAACTTTGTTTTACTTATCTTCTCGATCGTTCCCAGCCTATTTGGAAAAATATTTCCTATAATATTTGCAAATTATTACTCATCGCCTCCTTTCAATGTCTCGCCACGTTGATAACAAATGTTTATTTTCTTCAGTTTATTTGTGTTCATTATTCGTTCAATCTTTAGTCGTTATTGTGCATTTATCCTTAGTTTCCCTTAATCATTAATAAAAAATTTCCCGCCTATTATTAAAGAAAATAAACATTTATTTGTGTTGACTGGAATTGTTAGTCAAGAGATTAATATAGTTTAAGGTAGAGTAGCTCCCCATCCCCCGAAACCCCGACTCCCGACCCGACCCCGCCAATTTTTTTGGCAAAACCCCGACCCGTACCCCGAAGGCTCTACCCCGACAAACCCCGATCCCCGACACTTCCGACCCCGAAGGTTCGGCAAGCTACCCTAGTTTAAAGTATCAATAGAATTTTGGATAAACCCTCCCCCCATCACACATTCCGTAAAATATATTTTGTGAAAGAGATAATAAGATAAAATTTTGGAAGAGAAAATTTTAAAAATTTTTGAAAATTTTTAAATTTTTAAGACTTGGCAAAAAATAATTTAAGTTGATATATAGTAACGAGAAAAAATTTTATTGATAAATGATAATTTAGTAGAGATTAGATACCTGGCAAGAATCGAGTGTGAAATTTTGGAATTTGTTCTGTACTGAACTTTGCAAGGAACTTCGCTCTTTCGGGACTCTTTGGAACTTCTTTGAACTTGACTTTTTCGGAATTTTGTAAAGAAATTTCTTCAACTCGTTCAGGTTGAGGTTCTTTTACCTATCTTCGACTTTTGATTTTGTCAGGGTTAATGATTATTGTAAATATGTTTCTTATCAAAATAAACTCTGGCCTTTGCAAAGGAATTTTTCAAAATAAATTATGAAACATTTTTAATATGGAAAATTTAGTTGCGTTGTAATTTTCATACATTTTTTATTTTATTTATTACCCTCTTTTAATTTTATCAGTTAATTTTCTCAGTTAACTATAGCAATTAATTATAATTTATTAATTTAGATAAGATAGAATTAATATAAAAAATAAATAAATTTAGCAATTGTCAATCACAAAAACTGCTCTTTTCTCTCGATTTAATAATTTATTTAGCTAGATCAATATAATGCAAGGTCAGCTATAAAATAAAGCAAAAAATGAAAATGAGATTAAAACTTTGCAAAGAGAGAGCTTTAATGGCCATCTCACATCCAATCCGTTGCTATTTTTGGAGGAAATAGACTGGCATTCTATAGTAGTGTTAGTGGATCCTGGGAAATCAACGGATCTTCTATGCGAAAATTCCAGATATCAGACTTTTTTGGGTTCGGTGCCAAAATTTTTACTTTCTCAAGAAAAACATTTTTTATGTAAGATTTTCTGGAAAATTTCAAATAAATTTTAGATGAATTTTTCAAAATAAATTTTTTTAGGTATTTTTTCATTTTTTAGTTATTTTAATATTAAATTTTTTAAATGCCCTAAATTCCCTGTTTTCTATTCTTTAAAAAAATTTATTTAATATTGAGTAAATCCACTAGATGAATAATCATTTTTATCTGTTGAAAATGTTATGTTCGATGATATTCTTTTTTGTTTTGTTAATTGCTTCGTTCTTTCTCTTGAAACTGCCCGTGGAGCTTCTTCTGCATCACAGATATTATCGGGAGAATCTACACCCTCAGAAAGTCTCCTTTGACTATCTTGAGCCTGTTCAGTTTGCTCCCCTCCGAAACTCGTTTCTTCATAATTAGCTCCTTTGTTGTCACTATCCTGTGATTGTGTTGACTTTGACAACGTTTTTACGTGTTTTTTCTATTGCTGGTTGTTTCAAGTTTACATTATTAAAGGTTCCGTTTTGGGCAAAATAGTCTCCTTTCAAAAAGGAATTTACCTTAAAAATAATAAGAAGAATGAAAATAAAATAGGTGGAACTCAAACTTGTTGAAGCAATTTTCTTGGGATCTTCACGCATAGAGTAAAGAAGGCGGAGAGAGCATATATCGCAATCTTAAGTTTTGTTAAGTAAGAATAATTAAAGTTTTCCGGAAATGTTTTTACAATTATGTTTATTGTACTTTAATTAAGTTTGTATTTTTAATTTGAAATTGTAATGTTTCTTAAAACTTTTTTAAATGTTATAAAGCTAATGTTTTCCGGAAAGTTTATTTTATGTAAGCGCATGTTAGTTTTGATTTTTTAAATGTTTTCCGGAATGTTCATTTTACTAATTTACAATTGTAATGTTTTTCGGAAAGTTTATACTACATAACACATGATTGTTTTGATTTTTCAATGTTTTCCGGAATGTTCAGTTTAATAATTATTTTACAATTGTCATGTTTTTCCGGAAAGTTTATTTTATATAAAAACAAGTTTGTTTTAATGTTTTTATTGTTTAAATGTTTTCCGGAATGTTCATTTTAATTGTCATGTTTTTCCGGAGGGTTTAATTACATAAACACAAACATCTTTTAATTTTTAAATGTTTTCCGGAAACAATTTTAACATATGTTTCTCGGAAAGTTTATTTTACACTATTATTTCTGTTACCTGTATCATTGTAATAATTGAGAGTCCTAGGAAAAATCCAAATTGGCCGCCAATCTGTGACATAAAGCCAGGTACAGAAATTGTGTAGACCTGAATATGTTAAAATTTAAAAATAATTTTATGAGCAGAAATTTGCCTCCTTCACATGTTCATATTGTAAATCGTAGAAACTAATTTCCAAATTAAATTCCTAAAATTTTGAATTTTTTTTTGGAAATTAATATTTTATTTTTTAATTTTTAAAATTATTTTTTTAGTTTTTACGTGTTGTACAAAGGGTTGTAAAGCTGGACTTTGTTGTAGGGACACACTGAAAATTTAATTATTTTGATTAAAAAATTAGTCAAAAATTTATTTTAATTTTTTCTCCATTATATTAAAAATTTCCTACCCGTATTCCCATCGTGAACACCCTGGAACACACTGAAAAATAATAATAATAGCCTCTAAAAAATATTTTTCGTCATTTTTATGACCTCCTGGCTGTGAACGGCTCCAGAATGAACAAGTTGTATAGCATTATAATAACTTAAAATTAGGCTTTTAAATATTATATTATTTCCCAACTTTTCGGCCAAAACTTTAACTTCACATATTGGAAGGTTAGGCAATATTCCTTTAGTATCTTCCAAGTAAGGCACAGTACAGTTGAAAGCATCTGAAACTTTGTTTTGTATTTTATTTTTGGTTTTTACAATTGTTGTTTACTAAACTTGTTTTGCAATAAAATACAAAACAAGTTTCCCAACAAGTTTTTCCAACAACTTGTTTTCCCAACATGTTTTTACAACTTGTTTTTTCAACTTGTTATCACAGCCTGTTTTTACAACTTGTTTTATTATTTTACAAATAAACATTTTTCAAAAACATGCTGATTTACATTAAAACATATGCTAAACAAGTTTATTTAGTTTTGCTAAAACAACTTTTACAACTTGTTTCAAAGTTAAAAATAAACTTTTTTTTCAAAACATGTTTATTTTATATAAGCTTAACTATTTGTAAAACATTGTTTATTTCGTTTATTTTACAAAACATGTTTTCCCATCAAGTTTATTTATTTAACATTTGTAATTTCTCTTTTGTAATTTTTAAAACTTGTTTTCCGGAAAGTTTATTTTAAAACAAACATTCCAACATGTTCATTTAAATTTACACACCTATAACATTTGCTGTTAACCAATTCCTTACAAAACAATTAGCATCCTTCCCTACCAACTCGTTTGTACAATCGCTAGGTTTAATTCAAGTTTTACAATTTTATTTAAATAAAACTTTGGGTGTTCAAGCAGTTCAATGAACCTAGCAATAAAATGCATTCTGTTCCATTCGTGTGGGTATAAATAAAATCGAGGGAAATCAACGACTTGTTCGAAATTGTCGTTTACATAAATTATTATCTGTACTAGAAAAAATAATTATTTTTTAATTTTAAAAATTAATTTAGTACTTGTGCAATTTCCCTCCCCCATAAGCTCCACCCCTTGTATTTTCCTCCCACATAAGCTACGTCCCCTTATATTTGGTACTAGTGCAGTTTCCCTCCCTCATAAGCTCTGCCCCCTTATATTTAGTACATGTGTAGTTTCCCTCCCCTATAAGCTCCGCCCCCTTGTATTTTCTCCTCGTAGGCTACGTCCCCTTATATTTTGTACTAGTGTAGTTTCCCTCCCCATCAGCTCCGACCCTTGTATTTAGTGCTTGTGTTGTTTCCCTCCCACATAAGCTACGTTCCCCTATATTTGGTACTTGTGTAGTTTCCCTCCCCCTTAAACTCCGCCCCCTTGTATTTGGTACTAGTGTAGTTTCACTCCCCTATAAGCTCCGCCCCCTTGTATTTTCTCCTCGTAGGCTACGTCCCCTTATATTTTGTACTAGTGTAGTTTCCCTCCCCAACAGCTCCGACCCTTGTATTTAGTGCTTGTGTAGTTCCTCCCCCCCCCCCTCCCACATAAGCTCCGCCCTCTATTATTTTTTTTAATTTTCCATAAATTTTTAAAATTAATTTTTAACTCGCCTGAGGCTGGAAAAAATTATATTGAGGGGAGGTGATGCTGGGTAAGGCCTTCATTTCTAACACAAGTCTTCCTATATCATCCGCTTCTGTCTAAATTTTTAATTTTTCTTTAATTAAATTAATGTTTTTTGCCTGATTTAATTGTGGTTTAGTTTGGTAGCATAGACCACGACGCATGACTGGTCTTGAACTGAATATTGCATCACAACTTTTTAAAAATTTATTAGAGTCTCCTCGACTATCCTCCCCCCCCCCCCCTCAATAATTAACTCACCAATTATGCTTTTTCCCTCCAAGTTCACAATTAACAAATAAATCAGTGCATTTATAACCAAATTTTTCCTACAAATAATTTTAACAACTTCCCTTTTAATTTACCTGAATTTCTTGAAAAAATTGCTTAGTGCCTATGGAACGGCGCCAACGGTCATATAGCTGTCCCAACATTTGCATATAAGTCTGGTTAAATTCGGGTAGTCCGTCCTTAAATAATTCATACAGAAACCCATGAATTCTTATTTAAAATTTATTTTCTGGTCAATTTACCATGTTTTCCAGTCCACTTCCACCGATCCAATAGCTAAAAATGTCAAAACTTTAAAAATTCATAAAATTGCCTAAAATCAGCATTTTTGTCTCAAATTTCGCGTTTAATTAATATTATCTATTTTCTACCATATCCCAAAATTTCAGAATTTTAAGTCAATTACTACCCAAGTTATGGCCAAATAAACGTCGTTACCTCACAAGATCTCTTGCAACGTCTGTATTTATTCCTCCTATTTTTTCGTTCATATCTCGATAAAGAGCGTCAAAGTTGAAGGCATCTGGAACCTTTGGACATATTGTAATTGCTGGCAATTCGAGGCTAGGGACCTATAGAATTTTTTAAAAATATTGATGAAGTGAAAAAGTGACGAAGTGGAAATTGGCGAAATGTGTTTGTGGCGAAATGTGTTTTTGGCGAAATGTACTTTTGGCGAAATGAACATTTTGTCGGAAAATTTTATGGGATTATCCTGATAAAACTAGGTAGAGACAAACCAATCGTATAGTAGTACTTGAAGCTGTGGGCCCACGAATATATTCAATAATAACAAGTACAGTAGTAGCTGTTCCACAACAAGTACACAGCACCTTCATTTTTTAATTTAAATTAAAAATCCAAAAAAAAAATAAAACCAAAACCATCCACCAAAAAACCCGCAATTGGAGCGACTTGCTAAGCAATGCTTGTGACATTCCATGGATCTCACCAGTCCAGGGAGGGTAGTCCCGATCGTGACATTGACACGTTGAGTCGATACGGAACAGGCCGCTATGGGGGATTCGGACACCTTTTTAATTTAATTTTAAATTTCTTATCCAAGAAAATTTTTGGAAACTTGCCTCTCTTTATTCGTTCCTGTATTTGTTGTTTTTTAAAATTATCTGTTGGAAAGGGAGGTGATTGAGTTGAGGAGGCTGGTAGTTTAAATTGTTGAGGGTGTGGGTTTGGATGAGTGACGGAATACCGTAACATTGTTTAGGTGTGTGAAGAATTTACTGGCCAAACCTAACAGAATACTTGATAACCTCAATTTAAGATATGTTCTAAGTTTTGTTTGGTCTCTGCTAGGACTAAAAGTCCGAGTATCGGAGAATTTTCGGTTCGAATAGTGTACCAGGATATTCGAGGATTCCCCAGGAGCCGCTATTTAAGATACCCCCAAATGCAAGAACGGTTGTCTGGGGAAGCTTCTAAATGGATGCCCTCTATTTAAGATCCACCCAAATGCAAGAATAGTTGTCTGAGGGGCTTCTAAATGGATACCATCTATTTAGGATACACCCCAATACAAGATAATAGGTATTAAAGGGGTGTGCCGAAACAGATTTAAAAAGGCGAAACGCGAAATTCCAAAAACGCAAAAAACGCGAAAGGCGAAACGCGGAACGCGGAACTGGCACACCCTTGATTTATTAGTTCCATGGGGTTAATGAAGTTCGTCTATATTGTCTGGGGAGATTTTAAATGGATACTCTCTATTTTTATACCCTCTAATGGATACACCCCAATGCAAGAACGGTTCTAAAAATTCACGAAATCGACGAAAGACGAAACGCGAAACTAGCACACCCCATGTATTGGTTCACGTGTTTAATGAGGGTTGTATGTATCGGAAATTATTTTGTCGATAAGAAAATTTATTTTTCTGTTTTGGCACCTTTTTCGGGCAAATAAAGAAAACAAACAGCTTAACTTTATTAAGAAATAACCCGTCGTTGAGTAGGTGTATCTAATGTTTACCTACATTTTACCGCTGTCTCAATTTTCTCAAAGCTTTAAAGGGATTTATGCTAACATAGGAAACAACGCCCACATTAATTCCTAGAATGTATTTGTTGCTTATGTTTATGTGAGGGTGAATAACTAACGGGAAAGGAAGTGGGATTTGAAGAGAGAAAAGGGATTAAGGATAAACGACATCTGCGCACATTTGCGGATAAACGACATTTGCGAACATTTGCGGATAAACGACATTTGCGCACAAAATGGAAGCCTATTGAAATCGGAACTTATTACCACTTGAAATTGCCAAAAAGTCAAAGGGTCTAGGCCATACATGGACTAAGCATATGCTAATGTCACTCAGAGAAATTAAAACAAAAAATCGGCGCTGCCGCAGATATTCTCAAAATGTACGCAAATGTCGCAAACACCATCGGCTGCCAAAATGTCCCCTTACCTTACAAAGGCGAGTGCCTGGGGTGTTCGTGGGACTTCGGGATGAAATCTGATAGACATGTAGACTATACTCTACTTTAGTTATGAAATTTGCACCATTTTTGCTTAATGATACCGTCCCACGGACACCTCAGGCATTCTCCTTTGTTAGCTCAGGCTAAAGGAAAGGAATAATAGGGCAACAAATGAGGCATTAAAAAAATACTTAAAATTTACACAAAAAATTTTTGGACAAAATATAGCTACCACAAAAACATAAATTACAACAATTAAGGTATCGAATATATCGCCTATAGAATTTTTGAATTATTTTCTCTCTTCATTTTCTCAATTCTTTTCCTTCCCCTTCAGTTTACGGATCCCAAACGGATTCACAGCACACAGAACAAAATAAGAAGCGACACCGACTGCAGCAGCAACAATTCCATATGGCATAATACGGAGAGGAAGAGGAAGATTGAAGGCATTTTGGATTGGTTGCTGAAAAAAAATTTTTGAAAATTTTTTGAAAAATATTTTTACATTTGGAGCAGCCATTGTATTGTTTTGTTTGCAGAAAGGTTTGTAGAGAAGCTTGAATGTTGTTTAGAGAATATTTGTTGTGCTAAAATTAAAAAAGAATTAAAAGAAAAACATAAAAACAAAAAGGAAAAACATTGAAATAAACTAAAGGAAAATAAAAGAAACGAACAAAACATCCGGCTTTTATAGTATTATTTGGTAAGGTTTAAGAAAAACATTTAAAACAACAGAAAAAGAGAAAAACAAAACAAAAATGTTTTTCAACTTAAAAACATTAAAACAATTTAAAAACATTAAAACAAACAAACATCTAAACAAACATTTAGACAAACATTTAAGCAAACAAACATTTAAACAAACAAACATTAAACTAAACATCTAAACAGACAAACATTTAGACTAACAAACATCTAAACAGACAAACATCAGAACAAACAAACATTTAGACAAACATTTAAGCAAACAAACATTTAAACAAACAAACATCCAAACAAACAAACATTTAAACAAACAAACATCCAAACAAACATTAAAACACCCATTAAAACAAACTTTCAGATAAACTTTAAGATAATACTTTAAGGGAAACATATAAGAAAAACTTTTAAAAAGCATCAAAAACAAATAGAAAAACATGAAAAAAATAAAAGAAACCCAAAACAAATGAACAAAACAATCTTTTATGGAACTGTCTAATGTTTTAATAATTCACTTCTCTGACTTTTTCTTTCGTTTTATTAGCAAACACAACAGATTTTGAATAATTTTTAGAAATGTCGGAAGCGGTGTTGGTTTTTGACTCATAACTTTTTTTTCAGATTTTCAGAAAATTCTGAAATTTTGAATACTTATATAATAAAGGTATGGCTTCTAAATAAACATAAAGGTTGACTAAAAGCTTTAAAATTAAGGATGCTATGATTTTTTGAATTTAGTGTATCAAGGGAAAAATTATTTGCAAGAAAATTTAATGCAATTAAAGGAAAAATTTACTTAACACAAAAATTTGGTTAAAAAATAAATTTAAAATAAAAATAAATTAACAAATAAGCATAAATTACAACAAATAAAATAAATCTTACTCTCGTTTAATTGTATTGATTTAGAAAATGCTTGTATACTGTGTATGATCTGACGATTTTACCTTAAAAGGAGCATAACTTCATAAAAACGAACACGAGGTACTCATTTCTGACACGAGTTTTTTCATGATCGGGAACTGTGAATCGCTCTTCACTGTGCACCCAAACATAAATCAGCCATTCTCGAGCCCCAGTTTTGAACATAATACTTGACGTTTCAGCGGGGCGCAAATGTCAATAATCTTAAAAATGATTTTTTGGGTTAACGGGTCCGGAAAGGACACTACATATTTATTTATTTTGAGCGAGTGTGTAATTTTAAGCCTAAAATAATTTTTTTTAATTTGCAATTTTTTAGTTGCGTCGGCTTGGACGGTGCTGTGTTGTGCCGATTTGGCCCAAACCAAAATGATAATTTTATTGAATGCACGCGTGAAAAACACTTTGGTCACAAATTGTTAGAGGATCCAGGGATTTTAATTGCTTTCCATTGTGGCCCAAAACAAACTATTAAGAAGGGACTTGCTATTGCTTCAGGGGTTGCGGTACCGCCAGAGAATTAAGAAAATATTTAGAAGATTATATAAATAAATTTGGGGATATTATTTGTATAAAAAATCCCGTATGGGTTGTTTAGATAAAATTATTGTCTAAAATAAACTAAAGGAAAACAACCCATACGGGATTTTTTAACAAATAATATCCCCAAATTTATTTATATAATCTTCTAAATAGTTTCTTAATTTTCTGACGGTACCGCAACCCCTGAAGCAATAGCAAGTCCTTTCTTAATAGTTTGTTTTGGGCCACAATGGAAAGCAATTAAAATCCCAGGGTCGTCTAACAATTTGTGACCAAAGTGTTTTTCACGCGTGCATTCAATAAAATTATCATTTTGGTTTGGGCCAAATCGGCACAACACAGCACCGTCCAAGCCGACGCAACTAAAAAATTGCAAATTAAAAAAAATTATTTTAGGCTTAAAATTACACACTCGCTCAAAATAAATAAATATGTAGTGTCCTTTCCGGACCCGTTAACCCAAAAAATCATTTTTAAGATTATTGACATTGGCGCCCCGCTGAAACGTCAAATGTTGGGTTCAAAACTGGGGCTTTAGAACGGCTGATTTTTGTTTGGGTGCACAGTGAAGAGTGATTAACAATTCCCGATCATGCAAAAACTTGTGACCGAAATGAGTACCTCGTGTTTGTTTTTATGAATTTATCCTCCTTTTTCTTGGGACAACCCCCCTCCCCCCCCCTCCCCGTGGCACTGCCTCCCCGAAAATTTTTCCCGTAACCCCACCCCCGTTGGGGAACAACGCTACTCATTGCACAAGCATCTTCTAAACCAACACATCTAAAAAAGGTTATTTAAAAATGTAAAATTTAAAAGGAATTTTTTAATGAAGATGCTTGTATTAGAGGGGTTCTTCTTCATATTAGTTAAGCAATCCAATTCTTGTTTGCATCAATTCAAAAATTAGGTTATAGACCAAAAAATTTTACATCCTAATAGAAACAATTGTTTAAAAATTGTTACATAAGGTCAACATTGCCCTCCTTTTGCTTTTGCCGCTTTAGAAAGCAACTTGAATTTTTAGATAGTATTTTATTAAAATTTATAAATCTTTCCTAAGGTTTTATGACATTTGCGCCTCTATGAAATGCGCAAATGTTGGGTACAAAACTGAGGTACGGGAGCTTAAAAGTGGCGCTGGTCTAGTTTATGCGTCCAATGAAAAGTTTACTCATATTAATCATTTTATTGGACGATAGGAAAGTTTAGCAGCCGATCAAAAAGTCAAATTTTAGTGTCATTCATCCCCTACAGTGTCACAGGCAAAATGAGGGCAATAAGTATTTTTAAAAAATATTTGAAAATGTTTTTTCTTACTTCTGAAGCATCCATTTTATTTTTTGTTTGAAAAGATTTGTAGATAAGTTTAAATGTTGTTAGTGAAAAATATGTTTTTGTTGAAAAACCCAAGATTCACAGCACACAGAACAAAATAAGAAGCGACACCGACTGCAGCAGCAACAATTCCATATGGCATAATACGGAGAGGAAGAGGAAGATTGAAGGCATTTTGGATTGGTTGCTGAAAATAAAATTTTTTTGAAAATTTTTTTAAATATTTTTTACATTTGGAGCAGCCATTTTATTGTTTTGTTTGCAGAAAAGTTTGTAGAGAAGTTTAAATTAGAGAATATTTGTTTTGCTAAAAATAAAAAAAGAATTAAGAGAAAAACAGAAACAAAAAGAAAAACATGGAAAAACAAAAGAGCAAATGAAATAAACGAACAAAACACCCGGCTTTTATAGTATTGTTTGGTAAGGTTTAAGAAAAACATTTAAACAACAAGAAAAAGAGAAAAACAAAACAAGAATGTTTTTCTTCTTTATAAACAACTTTAAAAACATTTAAACAAACAAACATCAAAACAAACATTTAAACAAACATTAAAACAAACATTTAAACAAACAAACATTTAAACAGACAAAAATTTAAACAAACAAAAATTTAAACAAACAAACATTTAAACAAACAAACATTAACAAAAAAAGAGACGAACAAAACAATGTTTCTCTTCTTTATCAACAACTTTAAAAACATTAAACAAAAACAACAACATGTTTTAAATTCAATTAAAACAAGTAAAAACATCAGAAAAACATTAAAAACAACATTACAACAGACATCAAAACATACAAACATTAAACAAACATTAAAACATACAAACATTAAAAACAAGAAAAACATGAAGAATAAAAATTAGGAAAACAAACAAAGTTTCTCTCATTTATTTTTCTCTAACTTTGTTTTCTTCCAAACACAATGCCAATTAAATTAAAATTAATTATTTGAATATTTCTACTGTAGAACTGTAGGAGGTGACTCTGGTTTTTTATCCATAACTTCTCTTAAGGTAATCAGAAAATTCTGAAATTTTGCATACTTATAGAACAAAAGTAGGGCTTTTAAATAGACATAAAAGTAAACAAAACGCTTCAAAATTGAAGGTGCTGTGATTTTTAGAAATTTTAGAAGTGTTAATTGGCGAATTTATTTGATTTTGTTTTAATTTTATTTTTAAAATTTAATCAGAAAGAGTCTAATCTTTTATTTAATACAAGTATATAATTAAACACAGTCGGACCTCACTTTTAATTACGTTTTTTGAAACCTAGGTTGATCTCTCGTGTGGGGTGGGGCGAGGATTGGATGAGAGGGAGCCTCAGCCCTATTATATAGGTAATCTACATGAAGGGGTATCTTTAAAGTTGATCTCATGTCGGGTTGGGGCAGCCCTTGGATGGGGGAGCTTCAGCCCTATTATAATCTACATGACCCGAAGCTAGGTCCGAATATCTAAAGGTCCACTAAAGCAAGGTCCGACTATCTAATTAATTAAGCTTTTTTCTTCTTCTCTTCTTTTCTTGTAATATTTCTTATATTTCTCAGCCACAAAATTTGCCAAAATTTAGTCAAAATCCATTCTGTAAATTTCCAAAAAACCACCAAAATAACACCCAAATATACAATCGAAAAGGTTATAACATCCAGAGAATAATAAATAAACCAATTTAATTCCCTGTCTCCAGGCATATCAAGTTCTGATAAATCGTCAAATTCTGCTGCGAATTCTACCCATTTTACTAGCCTTTCTTTTGGTTTGAATGGAGTTAATTTTAATTTTCTGGATAGTATTTGGGCATTTTGGCGAAATGAGGGGACTTTGAGGATCTTAAAAATAAAATTTATTTTTTTATTTTTAAAAATTATTTATAAGAACACCCTTGGAAGTGGAAAATTCGTAACTTATAATGAGGTATATCTTAAATTGAGGGTATTGCCGTAAAATTGAACTTCGAACCCCCTCCCCCCCTCTCCCGCCCTTTTCTCTCCTAATATTAAAAATGGTCAGTCTACAAACATTACTCTACGGCCATAAGTACCCGTTCTGTTGATCAGAACCAATGGTCCGATAAACTCTGGGTATTGCTTAGTCCAGTATGTTTAAGCAACTTCCTTACCCTATAAGCCCCAAATTCAGAAAACTTGGGGTATTAGACAGTTGAAGATATGAGCATTGCTAATTGCGAACAACTCAGAAATGTCACCCGTGGGTTCATACCGGAAATGTCGTCTACAATTGTCCTATCGCCAGAGGTGTATCTAATATTGGGTGTATCTTATAAAGAGGTTCAACTATAAAATTTCAATTTTTACCCTTTCTATAGCCTCAAATAAAATATTTTCGGCATTCGGTCCATTCAATTCATTAACATCTATTTGTAGCCCTATACCATGTGTAACGGCAACATCAGCATTGTAAAATTGGTCTCCAAAAAGAGGAATGCCAATAATAGGAACACCGGCATACACTGATTCAGTTAGACTGTTTTGTCCGCAATGTGTAATAAATGCTTTCAAGTTGGGATGAACTAGAGAAAAATGTTTTACAGTAGTAATATTACAATTAGTAATATCAACTTGAATTACAATTACGAATATAAACTTGAATTTCAATTAACAAAAATAAACCTTAATTACAATTAACAAAAATAAACTTGAATTACAATTTAAAAAATCAACATATGTAAATTACAAATAAAATTATTAAACTTGAATTACAATTACCTAAAATATAAACTTGAATTACAATCACAAAAATAAACTTGAATTACAATCACAAAAATAAACTTGAATTACAATCACAAAAATAAACTTGAATTACAATCACAAAAATAAACTTGAATTACAATCACAAAAATAAACTTGAATTACAATCACAAAAATAAACTTGAATTACAATTAACAAAATTAAACTTGAATTATAATTACAAACATAAACCTGAATTACAATTTAAAAAATAAACTTGAATTACAATTAACAAAAACTTAAGTTTTAAATTATTTAATTTTCCACCTAAAATAGCTGGTTGTCTAAGCCACTCAAACGTATGAATATTGGATGCCGTATTAATTAATTCAGACATATTTTTAATTGTTTCAGAATCCAATTTCCAAATAAATTGAATATTAGGGAATTGTCTAAAAGCTTTTACAATTCCCTCTATAATTTTTAAATTTAATTTGGTTGTGTCAGCAATTGATCCAAACGAGAAAAGGACGGCGCCTTCAACTGCCTCGTCCAATATTTTTTTAATTTTCTTCAAAAAAATTTTTTCTTAATTTTTATTTAATCAAAATGTCAATTTACTGGTTCCAATTTTTTATTAGCCTCAGTTGCCAAATTATCCACCAACCCGCCAATATAAACAACTTTGTTGGAGGTTGGTCTAGGCATCTCAAAGAAGGGGTTTGAGTTGAAAAAGACGAGAGAAACTTTTTTTGTTAAATATTTTAAATCTGGAAAGTCTGAGCCGAATTCTTGACGAATTATTTGTTCCTAAAAATTGAAAGAAATTTCCAAAAAAAATTTCCTCCTAAACCTCTTCTCTCAGAATATAATCATCCATCCAAATCCAGTCATAAAATTCATTGTAAAAATTAAAAAATCTGTAGTAGAAAGAAGATTGTAGGCCCAAATGTGAGGCAAAAGTGTCTAATAAATTATTAAAAAATAAAAAAAAATTTTTTAATAAAAATACTTGGCACGAAACTAGCAAAACTAGGAATGTCAAATTTTCTACCAATCATTTGCAACAAGGGAACTGCAAATGCTGCTAGCCTTGTTTTTACGCCTAGTTTATGAAAAAGTGCAGCAGCACAATACTCGTACATTTCTGATATTCCAACATCAAACTTTTCGTTGGTTAATTGTTGCAAAAGTTTGTGTTGTTGTATTGTTTCTATAAACATGAAACAAATAAAACTTCAAACAACATAAACTACAAAACACATAAAATACAAAAAATAAAATACAGAAATAAGTTGAATAAAATCTAAACAAAACAAACAACTAAAACATTAAAAACAAAATACAAAAACTAGAACGAAAACACATATAAAATAAATATAAAACACAAAAGTCACAACAAATAAATAAACTTGGATTCAAACAAAAACTTGGGAATAGAAACATAAAATACAAAAAATAAACTTAGAAACATAAAACTTAAAGAAAAACAAAATACAAAAATAAACTTTTTTAAACAACCAAATAAAATGCATTAAATAAACTTGAATTAAAACAAAACTTGGAAACAAAACAAAATACGACAAATAAATCTAAACTAAAATACAAAAATAAACTTTTTTAAACAAACAAAGTAAAACACATTAAATAAACTTGAATTCAAACAAAACACAAAAATAAACCTAGAACAAATAAAAACACAAAAACATAAAACACAAAACTTCATTTCTAAACAACATACAAACAAAACACAAAACAAACAAAAATATGAATGTTTGCCTTTACAAGCAGTAGCCATCATTGGTCCAAAATGAGTCATCGGATGATTAAAGTAATTTATCAACGGTCTGTCGCTATGGAATGCTTCTGTTACTAGTTTGTTATTTTTAATATCCAAAATTTCAACACTGTCAGGATTTGCTTGGATAACATGAATATGTTTTACTCGAGTAGTTTCATTTTTAAAGTTTAACGTAGGGTCCATAATGAATTTAAGGAAATGCTGAAAATTTAATTTTAATTCAGAAAAAATTTCAATATTAAAATCATATTAAAAATTTAATTAAATTAATTACTCCAACAAATTAAACTTAAGTGTATAGAAAAACATGTTTTACAAGTTTAAACTTATCCTAATGTTCAAAACATTTTTTACAATTTGAAAATGTTTTTTCATTAATTCTTTCCGAACATTTAGAATATTTTTTCTTTTAAACTTATAACAAAACAAGTTTTACAATTGTTTAAATGTATTTTTTGCAAAGTTTCCGAACATTAAAAAATTTTAAGTTTATGTTTTACTTAAATTCAAGTTTATTTAATATAGGTATTTTTGTTCAAAACAAAGTTTATTTTTGTATTTTATTTGTGTTTCAGATTTGTGTTTTTATTTGTTTCCAAGTTTATTTTTCTTCTAAAATTAATCAAAACATGGGTTTACTATATTACAACTTACAACAAAACAAGTTTTAAAATAAAACTTGTTTTACAAATTATAAATGAAACATGCTTATTTAAAATGTTTTACAATTGTTTGTCCACTATTAAAAATCACAAAAACATTCCAAACATGTTCAAATTGGAAAAATTAAATTTATTATAAACATGTTTTGCTAATGTGTTTTCACACAAATTATTTTTAATATATTCTTCCCAACATTAAACTAACCACTTCGTGCCCCGCTTCAACCAAAGTATCCGCAATTCTTCCCAAATATTGAGCATGACTCCAACTTATTGAAGGGGAATGTACGAGTATTTTAAGCGGCCTTTTAATTGAATTAGTGTTTTGTTGAAAGTCATTGTTTAAATTTTTAAGGGGAGAGGAAGCAGAAGTAGTAGACGGAATACACAAAATAACCAAATAAAAAACAAATAAAGAGGAAACAATAAACATGACAAAATTTTGATTGAACTGAAAAATTGGGGGGAACAGGAAAATGACATTTCGACTAAGTATTTATATAAAGAAAAAAAATTTTCTCTTTTTTGTCAAATAGATAAGGAAAATTTGGCCATGACAAACGTCCTTAAAAATTACTTAAGAAATTAAAGACAAAATTGAAGGTAAATAGATTACTCTTTTGAGGGTTTTAATTGATAATTTGTCAAAAATGAGGGGAAATAATAGACTACATTTTTTAAATAATAAACTATAAAGTTGTGAAACATTTGAAAGACAAAAACATTTTTAAAAACATCAAAACATTACAAAACATCAAAACACATTTTTACAAAACATCAAAACATATTTAGAAAACATCAAAACATTTTTATCAAAACATCAAAACATTTTATAAACATCAAAACATTTTTACCAGAACATCAAAACATTTTTACTAAACATCAAACATTTCTACAAAACATCAAAACATTTTTAAAAACATCAAAACATTTTTATATCAAAACTTTTTACAAAACATCAAAACATTTTTAAAAACATCAAAACATTTTTAACAGAACATCAAAACATTTTTATCAAAACATTTTATAACAAAACAAAGTTTAAAAACATTTCTTAAAAACATTACAACTTTAAGGAAACATGATTTTTTATTTTAAGAGAAACTAATAATTCAAGCTTTGAACGAGCCCCTTGGTATATATGTAAAACAGAAACGAAAATATGCAAAACAGAAATTATAACTCTAGTTATTCCAAATCTTTTCCATGTTTATCCAAATAAAAAAATTAAAGAGTCCAAAAAATTATTTTAGCTCCCATTTTAATTTAAAAAGATTTATAATAAATTAAATAATCGAGTTAATTAAAATAATAAATTATAATACGGTCAATTCAAAATAAAAATCACAATGCTACAATTAAGGAATGATATTAATCATTTCGTTAGAAAATCAGAATTTTAGAAGAAAATAAATAAAATTAAAAAAAATCGGAATTTCAAAAAATTCTGAAAAAAAATCAGAAAATAGAAAATCAGAATTTCAAACCAGAATAAAATTATCAGAAAAAATATTAAAATTCTGGTATCAAATATTCTGAAATTGGTTAAAAGAAGAAAAATATAACAAATCAGAATTTTAAAAAATCAGAAAAAATCAGAATAAAATATATGATCAGAATATTCTGATTTTTAAAAAAGTGACAAAACACATTGAAGCTAACAATTCTTTTATTCAATCTCAACGGCTAATAAGTCCATATTTCTCTGGTTGCAATAATGTCTGCACAACATTATTTTCTAATTGGCTTAGTTCATTCTCGACTTGTTCCAAATCACTAGAGAGAAAAAAAATTTTTTAACTGAATTTTTTTCATTTATTTTTCACCAACTTTTCAGTTTTCCCAGGATCAGTTTGTAATTCAATATAATATTTAATTTTTGGTTCAGTTCCACTTGCACGTAAAGTTACTAGACTGCCCGAAGCTAATGTAAAAGTTATCATATCTGAAGTTGTGCTTAATGGAAGAATTGCTTTGTTGTTTGGTTGGGAAGAATCAAAACCTGGAAAAAGTTGTAATAAATGTTTAGATTGGGAAAAACATAACAAAACAAAGAAAACAAAGAAAAGAAAGTTATGAGCGTGAAAACATAGAAAAATTGTAAAAACATCCAAACAAACATTCAGAACATTGAAACCATTGAAAACAAAACATTGAAAATAAGCAAACAAACATCAAAATATTCAAACACAAGAACATTCAAAAACAAATATTTACAAAACATTCAATACAAAAACAATCAAAACATCCGAAAAAACATTCAAAACAAATAAATACAAAAACATCAAAACATTACAATATTAAACGCAAAAAACATCAAAACACAATTAAAAACATTCACTAACATTCGATAAAACATATGAAAACAAACATTTAAAAACAAAAACAACAAACAAAACACCCAAAAAACATTGAAAACACAATTACAAAACATCGAAACATTACAAAAACATCAAAACATTACAATATCAAACGCAAAAACATTGAGACATCCAAACACAATTATTTTCAGAAAAACATTTAAACAAAAACATTCACAAAAACATTCCCAAACATTCAATTAAAAACATGTTTTTACCAGTATTTAAATCTCGAACATGTTTCACAACATATTTTTCCTCAAAATTGTTTCCATCAATATTAACCGGATATTTTCCATTTTCTCGAAGATTATTAAATAATTTTTTGGTTACACTATTTTCTGGAACTGTCCAATAAGAATTTCCAATTAAATGGAAGCCGTATTTGTTGTAAATATTAAATAATTGTTTTTTCATATTTAAATTTTGGGAAGCTAAATAATTGGCCATTTCTGCGAATACTGCTGCTGCGCTTACTCCGTCCTTTTGAGAAAAAAAAATTTTTTTTTAAATATAAAAAAATTTCCCCAAAAAAAATCCAAAAAATCATAAAAATTTTTCAAAAAAATTATTTTCAGTTTCTGAAAAAATTTCAAAAAAATTTTTTTTTAAAAATTCAAAATCAACCTTATCAAGAGTTGTTCCTGTTGCAAACCCTTAAATTCAAAAAATTTTGATAAATTTTTAAAAATTAAAATAAACCTATAGATTCTTCCCACGCAAGAATAACCAATTTTCCTTTCTTACGAATTTCATGTGCCAAATTGCCGATCCATTTAAAACCAGTCAAGGAAACGTCATTTTTGAAGCCTTGGAAAGTTAAAAAATTTTAGAAAAAAATTTTAAAAATTATATTTGTTTAATTAAGGAAGTTCTTGCGGATTTTTTTATGAATTAATTTCGTGGGGATTTTTCTTGCGGATTAATTTTCGCATTTTTGCGAACTTTTTTTGCGGAATTTGTATTGCGGATTTTCCACCTATTCCCCTTCATTTGTCTCCTACTCCTCTTTTTTCACCTTTATAAGATTAATACATTTTGAGTAAGGTTGTCGGTTTCAACAAATTCTTAGGTTAGCTGAAAACGAACCGACAAACTAAACGGTTTATCAATCCGGTTTGAAACCGACAACCCTAATTTTAAGTGATAAAATTAAAAAGTTAACCCGAAATAAAAGGGTGTGAAAAAGTCAGTAAAAACTCCGTAAAAATTGACCCTCGTCTTTACAATTATAAAAATTCAAAAATAAAAAAAGAAAACCTTCAATTTTAGACATTGTAGCAACTATTTGAGAAGAAACGGCACTATTTAGAATATAAACATCTTCAGCCGAAATATCTGGATTTCTCTGTTTCCATTGTGTCCAAATCCACCAAGTTAACAAAGTACCCATTTCATTTCCATTAAATAAACGCCAATCTCCACTAAAAATTTTAATTTTAGAAAAAATTAATTAAAAAAGAAAATTGAAGGATTTGAGGTTTATTCCCCCTAGCTTTCTTTTGGTTTTGTTAGAATTGATAAATTAAATCCGATAAATTAAACCCGAAAAATTAGCGGATCGTCAAGCAAAAAGAAGGAACAAAAAAGGGCTAAAATAAAAATACCCCAAGTTCATGACACCCTTGTTGCCTAAAAAATCCTCGAAAAATTAAAAATCAACACCTAAAATGTGTAAAAATTTCAAAACCCCCAAAATAAAAATCAAATACTCAGGCTGTCTTTCAGCAACTTGAAGTCTATCGGCATCCGGATCATTCGCCAAAATTAAAGTAGAACTAGATTCCTCAGCTGTTTGATAACAAAGTTTGAGAACAGCATGGCCCTCTTCTGGATTTGGAAAAGAGACAGTTGGGAAGTCTGGATTGGGTTCGTCTTGTTCCTAAAAACGGAGGGGAAACTTTGAAGAAAATAAACATTTTTTAAGAAAAAAGTCAAGAAACTGATTTAATTTCTAGTGCTTAAGGGGTCAGGGTTCGACCCTCGTTGAAGAACTTTAATTTTTATTTTAATGGGAAATAGTTTATTTTCGTAGAAAAAAAATTAAATTTTTCATTTAAAATTAATTTCTTATTTAGAAATTAATTTTAAAAAATTTTTAAAAATTCAGAAAAATCTCAAAAAAAATTTTAATAAAAAAAATTCAAAAAATCAGAAAAATAAAATTTACCAAAGAAAAATATTAAAAATAAACTAAACCTTAACATAAGAAAAAACATTTTCTGGAAATCCAAATTCTTTAAACATTCTACGAGCAAATTTAGAACCAACACCATGGAAGGCAGAATAAGTAAATTTAAGTGAAGTTTTTGCATTTAATTCTCTTAAAAAAAGTTTGTTTATTTATTAAAATTGTAAAACAAATTTTACAATTCCAAGTTTATATTTCGCAATATCAAGTTTATTAATATGTATTTTGTAAAACAAGTTTATTTGTTTTTATTCAAGTTTAATTTGTAATTACAATTTGTAATTTCAAGCTTATTAATTGCAAACAAGTTTATTTTACAAATTGAATTACAAATTGTGATTTCAAGTTTATTTTATTGTAACTTTCAAGTTTATTTTTTTAATTAAATTACAATTTGTAATTTCAAGTTTATTAAAGTAAAATTCTGATTTCCAAGTTTATTTTCTTTATTTATTAATATTTTGTAAAACAAGTTAATTTATATTTATTCAAGTTTAATTTGTAAGTACAAATTGTAATTTCAAGTTTATTTACTTTAAAATTCTGATTTTCAAGTTTATTTTTTAAGTTGTAATTACAAATTGTAAAATAGTATATTTTTCAAATTACAATTTGTAATCGCAAATTCAAATTTTTTAAAATAACTAAACAAACCTATAAAAACAACAAACAGCAGACTCATTACAAAAATATTTTTCCAGAACAGAATCAGCAACAGAAAATAAATTGTTTGTTGTATTTAAAGTTGTAATATTCCAATACTCGTCTTTTGGAGGCGATTCTCTAGCAAGAAGGCAAATTTTTTTGTCGTGAGGGGAAAGTATTTGAGCGCCATTATTCCAATAAACTTTGTAGCCATTATATTCTTTTGGGTTGTGGGAGGCTGTTATCTGTGAAAAAATAATTTTATTTAAATGGAAAGGGAAAAATTTTCGAGAAATTTCAAAAAAAAAATTTTTTAATTTTTTGAAATTTTTAAAAAATTTCGAAAAAAAATTCAAAAAAATTTTTGGAAATTTTTTTTCAAAAAAAGATTTTTTTGAAATTTTTTTGAAATTTTTCTGAAAAAAATTTTCAAAAAATTTTCAAAAAATTTTCTCCCTAAAAATTTTTCAGAAAATTTTTTTTGAAATTTTTTTGCAAAAATATAAAAATTAAAAAAAATAAAACCATTAAACCAGCATCACAATTTAATTCAACAACGGCAAAAGAAACAACAGGTGTTGGAACACATTCAGAAAACAAAGTTAAACAAATTCGATTTTTAATGAATACATTTGAGGCTAATTGAGCAAATCTGGAAAAATAATTTTTAGACATTTTGGGGATTTGTAAAGATCGGAAAGATTTTTGCGGACTTTTTTTTTGCGGATTTTACTTTGCGGATATTTTTTCTGGATTTTGCGGTCATTTTCTGCTGATCCAAAGGAAAGAAAAATTGGTGAAAAGTCCGCAAAAAGTGTCCGCAAGAATTTTTGCGGATTTTATTTTGCGAACATTTTCTGTTGACCCAAGGAGCAATAAAAAACAAGAGAAAATTACAGAAAAGTCCGCAAAAACTGTCCGCAAGTTTTTTGCGGATTTTTTTAGAATCTAATAAACCTCAAACTATTATGACGTCCATCAAACCCAACCACAATTTTGGGTATTTTATTGTTTCCTTTACTAGCCATGTCTTGTAATAAATGCTGGGCCATTCCATGTGAGAGTTGTATAATTGTAAGGTCGTTTAATTGAGTGAAGCCTGGTCCCATTTTTGTACGCACACCTTTAAATAAATTTTATTGAAATTCAATGGGTTATAGGGAGGATAAATAAAATCAAAACCCAAAGGACAGAAGGTGAAAATTGTTAAATTTTTCCAAAGCTCCCGTTTCGATCCCTGGTTTCAATGCGTGTCTCAGGGGGGCTGGATGGAAAATAAACTGTTAAAAAAATGAAATCCAAGAGGGCACCTTCTGAAAAAGGCAGCCTTCTGGAAAAATTCTAGAAAAGCAAAAATTCTCAAATTCAGAAAATGAGAATTCGACCTCTAAAGTTCCCAATAACAAGTCAACAAATGCGTGTTTCAAAGTGCTGAGAATCGTTGGATTTATTGATATGCATTATTGATCGAGCTGAGTCTGGAACAAGGCCTGGGCTTTTCCTGTATCCAGAGTCCAGGCACTTTTGACTTTCCTGGAATTTCACTGAACTACAAGCCCAAGTCAATAAATCAAACACGGAACCCAGGAACAAGCCCAGGCTTTTAAAAAAATCTCGATCACTAATATGCATGCGTCAACAATTCTGTGGAGCCCGAGTTTCCCCAAAAACCAATCCAAAAAATTTAAAGAAAACCTGCAGTTCCAAAGGAAAGTTTGCCAATCATCAAAGCTTTAAGTTCTGATAAATTGTTTGAATCAACCAGCTTTTGAATTTGACTTCGAGTGTTTTCGTTCTACGAAAGGGAAATTAACAAAGTTTAAAAAAAAGAATTTTAAAAAACCTTATCCCATTCTAGCCAATTATTAATTAATTTTTGCAATTCTTCATCCATTGAAAAAAAATTGGTTAGAAATTTTTCTTAAGAAATTCTAAAAATCTGAAAAATCGGTGAGATAAAAATTAGAGGTCGGCACGGGACAGGATCGGATTTTACGGGATCCTGCCTCGAAATCCCGTATTTTAAGCGACGAACGGGATTATCGGGATTTATGGGATTAATCCCGCGGGATCCTATCCCGCAAAAATTGTTGAAGAAAATTTTTGTGGGACCCCGGGAATGCAATTTTACCTAGAATGAGGGAAAATCGCATTCACGAGAAATCCGTAACGGGATTTTTCCAAAAAATTTTACGGGACAGGATCCCGCGGGATTAATCCCGATAATTCCGTTCGTTGCTCAAAATACGTGATTTCAGGACAGGATCCGCAAAATCCCGCTCGGTATCCTGTCCCGTCACCACTCTAGTTTTACGGCCCTCTAATAAAAAAAAACTATGGCAAAGTAGTCCTGCGACAAAATGAACGTGTTAATGTATTAATGGTAATGTCATTTTGTAAACTAATTTTTTGTTCCTTTCTTTGCTTCGGATTTTCAGGGATTTCGTTCATACATATCTGATATTCTTTTTTTGTTTTTTTTTATTTTGTTAACTGTTATACACATCAAAAGTGAATCGGAAATGACGAAGTTGCCGGAAATCGGAACTGTCGGAACTCGGAAATGGTTCAAAAGTCGGAACTCGGAAATCAGCCTAAATTTTCGGAAATCGGAATTCTCAATTTTGTAAATTAATTTTATTCAGTTTGACCCATTTTCTAGAAGTTTCTAACATTTTCCCCTCAGGCCATTTTCCCTTTCGCCATTTTCCCATTTTTATCATTTCTCCCTTTATTTGCTTGTCACTTATTCAAAAATGCCCATTTTACCCAACCAACATTTCCTTTTATTAAATAATTGCCTCATGTTTTCTTTATTTACATATTTGCTGCTTATCTTCCGCTTTGTCTTTACTGCCCATTGTAGATAGCGCAATAAATAAGCCTGCCCCATTTATTGGGGAAAACACTGCAATTTTGCAACTAAAATTTCTTTCATTTCCTTGTCGTTGCTTATTTTCCACCAAATTTTCTTTTTTATTTTTTTCATCTTTTTAGTCTGTTTAGCAAAATGGAATTTGACCAAATGGAAAAAATTAGTTTAAAAGATTTTGGACGGCGCTTGGCTCTTTTGCTTCAAGAGAAATATGGTGGATATGAATCTCTAGAAGAACTAATCAAGGAATTCAAGTTATTTTTTATTTTAAAAATTAATTTTTGACTTTATTCCCCTCTTTGTTTTGTCAGAAACATTTTTTTTACAAAATAAAATTAATTTCCCCCGAAGGGGTTCGAACCTGGGACCATTTTTGACTATAAACCTAAAATTTACCCACTTAACCAAAAAAGTATTTTGGGGTGAATTTTTGATTTTTAAGCTTTTCTCGGGTTTTCTAATTCAAAATTTATTGAAAAACATTTTTTAAATTATAATTTTATTTGTTTTATAGGGGATTTCATCAATTCGACCCTGAACAGAAGGCGATATTACTCGGCTTTTCATCTCTTCAACAATTATTGCATTCTAGAGAAATGTTTGAGTATGTTAATGTGCTTACAACAACAAAGGAGAATGGAGAGGTTTTTTTCTAAATTTCTTATTAGAAACTCCAGAAACCTCAAAAATCGAAATTCGTGCCTAAAATTAGTTTTTAGTTAAGTGGGTAAATTTTAGGTTTTTAGGCAAAATGGGTCGAAGGTTCGAACCCTGTTGGGTGCAATTAATTTTTATATTGTAAAAAATGTGTTTCTAGTCAAACTGGGCAATTCTCTTTTAAACCCAATTTTTTAGAGGGTGACAATTTATACTGGCAGACATCTCGACGGTGTAAATGCAATTAAACAAGCAAAACGGTTGGAGATGCAGGAGATTGAAAAAAGGTTTTCATTCCTTCTTTATTCATATTTTTACTTATCTAGACGAAAGCAGAAGCAATTTTGGCAACAGAGGAATCAATTTTGGCAGGAAGAAATTGATCGGATGGAGTAGGGTTTTTTAAAAGTTTTTTGAATTTTTAAAGTCTACCCAAAGGCGTAGCTTCCAAAATAATTTAAAAATTTATTTTTAACTTTATTCCCCTCTTTGTTTTATCAGAAACAATTTTTTACAAAATAAAATTAAGTTCCCCCGAAAGGGTTCGAACCTTCACCCCCTTTTGACTAAAAACTCAAAATTTACCCACTTAACCAACGAATACTTTAGGTATGAATTTTTGATTTTTTTTGTGTTTCTTGTTCAGAAATGATTTAAAAAATTTTTTGGTTTTTTGATCATTCCCCTCGTTATTTTTCTGAGGCGAGGCTCCCAACCAACCCTTATTTGGCTACGCCGTTGACGTTAAATAAACTCTTAAGAATTAATTTTAGCGAATCTCAAAAAGAAAATCAACGACCAAACAAAAATAATTCTTGTAATAACCCAGCAAATCAACAGTCGAGTCGAAATACGGTTAAAATTAAATATTTTTAAAAATTTAAAATTTTCCTTTATTGTCGTTGTGAAATTTAAAAGGATGTTGAGGGAGTCTGAACATTAGAGAATCTATCTTAATTCAGACTTGAATTTTCCCTTGGGTCCAAAGTTAAGGTAAAAAAAGGCAGTTTTCCGTGTTCTATTGATCGTTATATGTGTGAAAAATTGGATTGGACTGCTGTCCTTCGATCCGGGGCCATCCAGGGTCCCTTTCTCTCCAAACTGCGGCCTAATTTATCCTTCCACTTATCTGTTGCAAATTTCCCTTTTCCTTTTGCTTTTCATCCCTATCGCTGACTAGATTAGTCTCGTGACCTGAGTCTGAAAGGAAAAAAGGAAGGGGACGAAACTCGAAATTAACGAATCAAATCCTAATTTAGTTTTTTTAATATTTAATTTTTTATAGTTTTCAATATTTCGTTCACCTCGACAGCCTCCCACAAATTTTAATTCTGCAAAATTAATAAGAACATTAGAGGAAATTCGAAATGATGAAAGACGACAACAACAACAAAAAATGTTAAATATTGAAAAGGAATCGAGAAAAGCTTTAAAAAAAGACGTGGCTACTGAAACTGAGGTTTTTTTTAATTTTTTTGGCGAAATTGTCGTTTGGTGGCTTCCTTTTTTCCTCTCATTTTTGGGTCAGAATTTTCTTCCTAGAAAGAATACAAAAGTCTTTGTACGAAAAGGAGAATTGGGAAGAAAGGAAGCAAAATCTTGCCACGTCATCCTTTCTCTATTCACTAACCTTTTTCAATTAAAAAAAGATTTTTTGTCCGCAAAAAATTTGCGGACAAAAAATCATGTCCGCAATAATTTTTTGCGGACAAAAATTTATATCCGCAAAAATTTTTTGTCCGCAAATAGCATCCGGAAAAACTTGGGGATGAAAAAAGGAGGTTTTAAACGACAATTTTGCAGAATTAAAAAAAATTATTTTTTAATTTTTAGAAGACCTGCACAAAATGCATTTGTACAGGCTGTGTTCGCTTTACAAAATTGATTTATAAATTGGTTGCTCTAGTGAAGGATAAAAGGCGAAAAAATGTTGAGGTTGTTTAATTTTCTGAACTAAATTTAAAAAATATTTTTAAATTAATTTTAAAATTTTTTTGATCAATTTTGGAAAGGATGACATTTGATCCCACACCTTTCATAATTTTTAAATGTTTAGTTTTTTTGTGAAATTATTTTGATATATATTTTTAACTAAAAAATTAAATGTTTAAGCCATAATTTTTAAAAAAAAATTATTGCCCGCAATAAAATTTTTTGTCCGCAAATATTGTCCGCAAAAATTTTTTTGCGGACTTTTAAAGATATTTCTAATTAAAAAATTTTTTTTTAGTTGAACAAGACATATGATAAAACAAGCAATATTTCAACTAACCTGGGTAATATATCTGAAGAAAATGAAGCAAATTTAATTGAATTATCCACTCCAAATGTAACTAGAGCAAGTCTTAAAATGGTAGAAGAAATATTATTTTTTGGGGTAATTTAATTAAATTCAAAAATTTTAATTTTTAATAGCAAAATGAGAGGAATGGAAATGAGTCTGTCAGTGATTTAATTCGATTTTCTACTGGAAATGGTTCTAGACTGGAATGTGAAGTTGAGGTAATTTTTTAATTTTTTTTTGAATTTTTTTAAAATTTATTTTAAGCGCAATTCTGCTGTGGATTCACTCAATAATATTGGTAATTCTGTTTAAAATATTTTTGCGGACAAAAAAATTTTTTGCGGATTTTTAGTTAGGAAATGTCTTTGCGCAGTTTTTGCCGTGTCTGAAATTTTTTTTTGCCGACAAAATAATTATGTCCGCAAAAATTTATTTTTTGTCCGCAAAAAATTTTTTTGCATTTTAAAATTAAGTTTCTTTAATAAAAAAAATTTTTTAAGATATTCAAGAAGCATTTAATTCGTTTATGGAGGATAGAATTGAAAATTTAAATGAAGATGAAATTAGTGGAGATGTAAAGCGTTTTTTAATTTTTTTAACAGAATTTTTTTATTTTTTAGTTTTCAAGTATTCTGAAGGAATTTCTTGTTTTTGACAATGATGAATCTAATGCTAGCAGTAAACAGCAGGAATTGCAGCAAAAAACAAATAATAATAAAATTGCAATTCCTGGAAAAGGTAGAATTAAATAAACTTTAAAAATCAGAATTAAAACATCAGAATTTTAAAATCAGAAATCAGAATTTGCAAACCAGAATTTATACTAAATCAGAATTTTAAAAATCAGAATTTTAAAATCAGAATTTAAAATTGGAATATAAAAATCAGAATTTGTAAATCAGAATTAAAAAATCAGAATTTTAAAAATCAGAATTAATAAATCAGAATTATTAAATCGGAATTTAAAAATCAGAGTTGATAAATCAGAATTTAAGAAATCAGAATTAAAAAAGCAGAATTTTCAAACTAGAATTAAATATATCTGAATTAAGAAATCAGAATTAAATATCAGAATACAAAAATCAGAATTTAATGATTAATATTCAATTTATTTCAGGTTCTTCAACTTATATTTGGGACAGAAAGTATTATAAAAGATGCCCAAAGTGTCCACTTAGACAAACTTTAGAGCACGTCATGCTTGTAAATCATCCAACAATTGAGGAAAGTTATCAAGAAATTGAAGATGAAGAGGAGGAAAATGAAGAAGAAGAGGATGAATATAATATCGATGAGAATTCGGGCAATTTTAGTGGAGGGCAAAGAAATGATGGGGGAAATTTAATATTTGAGCAGGAAGAGGAATATGATGAAAATAGTGAAGAAAATAATATTGTGGAGGAAAGTGATTTGGTAAACACTAATGAGGAAGAAAATGGGTGGGAACTTGTTGAGGATGAAAATTATATTAGTGGTGAGCTTTTTTAGGGGTTTTGACATTTTGAAATTTTTCGGGGTTTGACATTTTGAAATATTTTGAATTTTTTGACATTTTGAAATTTTGTTGGGGGTTTGACATTTTGAAATATTTCTGAGTTTTTGACATTTTTAAATATTTTGCGATTTCGACATTTTGAAATTTTTTTGGGGTTTTGACATTTTCAAATTTTTAGGGGTTTTTGACATTTTTAAATTTTTTTGGGGTTTTGACATTTTCAAATTTTTAGGGGTTTTTGACATTTTTAAATTTTTTTGGGGTTTTGACATTTTCAAATTTTTAGGGGTTTTTGACATTTTTAAATTTTTTTGGGGTTTTTGACATTTTTAAATTTTTTGAGGGGTTTGACATTTTGAAATTTTTAGGGGTTTTTGACATTTTTAAATTTTTTGGGGTTTTGACATTTTGAAATTTTTTTATTTAACTAGAAGGAGAAAATTCGACATTTACTGATGATGAAGAGCAGCAAACTCCAACAACCTCAAATAACAACAAGACACAATTGAAGGTTAAAAATGATACAAAGAAAAATTTTTGTACGCTTTGTAATATGCAATTTTCTTCTCCAAGAGGATTGAGTATACATAATGGGAAAAACAAAAGGCACAAAGATTTGTGTAAGGAAAATTTTTTTGGTAATACTTTGCAAGTCGCCCACCCTTTTTTCTACATTTTCATGGTTATTATTTGAAAAAAAGCTCTTCGAGCTGAGTCGAAGACACAATCATCGATTAGATTTGATCATCTTGAAAACAAAATAATGAAGCTTGCCTTTGTAAGGCATTTTGAATTTTTTTTATTCGACTCACCTCGAACTATAAAATTTGCTATAAAATGAAAAACAAATGGAAACAAAAAAATGAAAAAAGGAGGGGAGGGGGGCGACTAAGTATTACCAATTTTTATGTAAGATTTTTTGTAATTTTTTTTTTGATTTTTTTAGTATTAACAACAAGTCGAATGGCCAATTTAATGGTTAGTGATGCTAGTAATAACACTCCCAACAATAACACCACCAACAACAACAATATTAATAATACTTCAAATTTATTTTTATGTGATTCCCCGGGGTGCAAGTCTATTTTTGAATCACCAGATAAACTTAAAATACATCAAAGAAAACAACACACACAAAGAAATTATATTTGCCAAGTTTGTCAAAAGTCTTACATAAATGAGGGATGGTTAAAGAAGCATAAGAATGAAAAGGGACATTGAAAAAAATTAAATTTATTTGATTAACGCTTTTGATTTTGAAAAAATATTACTCATGATTCTCTTAATTATTTTTGATTTTTTAATAAATTGTTGAAGATTCAATCAATTCTCTCTTTATTTTAAATAGGGTTGCCAGCCACATTTCTGTTAGGTTCGAAAAATCAGATTAGGCTTCGAAAAAAACGGAAAAAACAAATAACTCAGACGTTGGCCTAGTTCGAAAACGGCAACCCTAAATTTAACATTTTTGCTCAATATTTTAATTTACTTTTTTGTAAAAATATCATACTGATAAATATTTAAAGGATTAAAATCTTTATAAATTATTCTGTTAGAATAATTGTGAAATACCTAGAAAATTGTGATACTTTAATTCTGTTTTAAATTTTTTTAATGTTTTAGTGTTTTGTAATTGATTTTTAATGTTTTTGTGTTTGAATATTTTAATGACTTGTTTGTTTTTGTTTCCCATGTTTTGTATGTTTGTTTTGTTTGAATGTTTTATTTATTTGTTTTTGTTTGAATGTTGTTTATTTGTTCTTGTTGAGTGTTGTGTTTATTTGTTTTTGTTTGAATGTTTTGTTTATTTGTTTTTAAATTTTTAGAGTGTTTTTTATTTCTTTTCCTTGTTTTTCTGTTTTTAAACAATTTATTTTTAAAACTTTCCAGGTTTTGATTCTTCCCAAACAAACAACAAAGCAATTTTTCATTAACTTCAATTTCCAATATGATAACTTTTACTAACGGTTCGAAACAAGTAAAGATTGGATCACGTCCATTAGAACCTAATCTTGTAAAAACCTCAAAAAAGGTAATTCTATAAAAATATATCAGCTAAAAAAATTTTCAAAAAATTTTTAGCCAATACCAATGGAATTAATTTTTGATCTTTTTAAAACGACGATTACAACAATTCCTTTTAATTTTCTATGTGAAAATAAAATGTTAAGAAGTAATGAAGATATTACAATAGTAAAAATACAGCAACAAAGATGGACAAATAATTTTATAAAAAATATTTTAACTTCGTCTTTCGTTGTTTACACACTTGTTTGGGAAGCTTTTTCAAAAAGAAAAGTTTGTTTTCCATTAAATTAAAAAAAGTTAAAAAAAAGAAAAATATTCTAATATTTGTTCAAGCAGGGGTGGTCGCATTGCGTTTTGCGTAAATTTGGCCCAAATTAAGGCAAAAGCAAAAAAATATACTCAATCTGAGGAAAAAATTGAAGAAATCTGGCGTCTTGGCCTTCCAAAATTCTCAAAATTTTCGCCTGCCTCGCAGGAAAAGAAAGACCATTAACAATTTTTCAGTTAATGTCATCGCAACCTGCCTTAATTCCTCACATATTGGAAATTAATGGACAAACATATTTTCCTTCCCATACCTTCTGGAATTTAACGAACGCTGTCAACGACGCAATGCACCAGAATTTGGTTAATCAAGAAGGAAACCTGCTTAATACTATGAAAAATGTTGTCTTCGACACGCTCTTGGAAGAAATGTAAATTTAAATTTTAAATTTCTGTTTTAACATTATATTACAGTATTCTCTGTATAAAAGCCATCGCTCCCCTCTTTAATAAAACTTAATAAATACCCTTTTGAAGTATGGTTGAAAAAGTACAGAAAATACTGTATTGTTCTACATTTTATCATTTTTACGGAATTTAAGTTTTTATTAGAAATGCGTTCCTAATTAAAATTATTTTAAATTAAACCACTTGAATTTGATTTATTTTCTACAGAAATCCGAATACGAATCTTCCCATTTTTACGGTGTTTGGCAGTGAATCAAAAATTGTTGATAAAAATTATAATTTTGATTCGCTTTTTATCGAAATATCTGATCCACGTCGTTTTCCTGGGAATGTCTTTCATATCACCAAGCATTACAATTTGCGGACTAATATATTTGCCAATGTAGCGGATTTACTTGAACGAGGCCTTAAAAATGTTGCAGTAGCTGGTGATGTATATTCCCGCGGTGTTCGAAATATGGTAAGTTAATTTTTAAAAATAGTCAAATCAAAGTCAAAATTTTGTATTCTTAATTTAAGGGTGATGTCCCCTGCTTACATCAAATCGGGGGTAATTTTAAATGAAATTTTATAACTTCAGAATAAATTTAAAAATTTTTACAATAGATTTTTAATAAAATATTTTTATTAAAAATTAAATAAATTCGAAAATTTCATTAAAATTGACTCAATTTGGAGTCAATTATAAAAAATTAAATTTATATTTTTTAAACCTAACTAAGTTAATATATTTAGTCGTAAGAAGCTACACAGCACAGGAATTATACAAAGGTCGTCGAAATGAACCTTTATTTAATGAAGTTGAATCTGGTGCTGGTGGATCTGTCATGGGAGGCAGCAACAGACAACACATTCATACGCATAATACTTGGGTTGCATTGTGTCAACGTGGTAAAGCTGGTATGAATAAGGTAACTTTAAGTTGTTGATGTACTCACTTAAATTATGATATGGCGTGTCATAAATAAAGTTGTGGCAAAAAATGTTTTGTTTTTCGAACCGTTTAACATATGAAACGTCATACAATTCGAATAACACCTGGGGTAATGTTAATTAAGGTGCTTCGTAAACTTTTGGTCGATAAACAATATGTATTAAACGATACAAACATTCCTTTTTTTAATCCTGCATATGTCATAAATACTACGCACGATGGAATGCAAGTTCCGGTATGTATAGGAAAAAAGTTTTTTTAATTTAATAAAATTTTGGATTGGTGAATGTGGGATCCTCGATCAGAGAATAGTCAACCATGCGTTTGATGGTGAACAAGTGACATGGGGCTATTGGCTTTGTGAGTTTTTTGAATAAATAAAATTTTAGATAAAACAAAAATTTAGATATGGAGAATATTCTGATCGTCTCCAAAAAAATTTCCAATTTACAGCAGTTTTGGAATTGAAGAAGTTTGATCAAAAAAATCAAGATTACGAGCAAAAATGATTAATCAATAAGATTAGTTTTAATTTAATTGATAAATGTTTTCGACTTATTTTTAAAATAAATGCAAATAGTAAGAGTCTAGAGAATAAAATCAGAAATAAAATGCAGAATTTAAACCAAAAATGCTCGTAAAATACTTATACATCATGTTTTACTGGTCAATGAAAATGTCATTGATTATAGCTCTAATTAATAGAAAATAATACATTTATTTATTTTGTGGCCCCTTTTGTTTTCCAGGCCCAAAAAATTCAAGACAGCAAGAATTTTTCACAGACCTAAAAATTGTCCTAAAATACTATGGAAGTTTAGAAATAATACTACTCTGAAATTTTCCTAAAGATATTATGATCTTTTCCAGTCCACAATTTTTCTGAAAAAACCACAAAAAATTTATTTTTAAAATTTTATATAAAATATATTTTTAAATTTATATAAATAATTTAAATATTAAACATTTAATAGTTTAAATTTTTTATGATTTAATTTAAAAAACTCAATGAATAGGATATATGAAGTATAAAAATTCGAAATTTTACATAAAGAATTCAACAAAGTAAAAAAAAATTAATTTTTTCGTTGAGCTCTGATTAAAATGAGAAAACACAGAAAATATATCTTGAGATTTGAAAGATGAGAGAAAAAAGGACTTTTTTAAATTTAATTTTTTGAGAAAATTTTTTTGTTAAAAATAAACAAAATCCCACCCTAAAATTTGGAAAAAAATCACCCATAAAAGATCTGACAGAATCCAAAGATTAAAATCAAAAATAATAAATGAGAATAGGATATAATAATAAAGAAAAATACACGTAAATTATATCACGTTGTACTGGTCTACACACATAATTTAATCTAAAAACAGTCGAACCTCACCTTAAGATACCACCAGAACAGATAAACAGTTAAGATAAATTTTATAAAATTTTGACAGCCATTATGAAGGCAAGCCGGACTAGCGATGCTCTCTACCTTATAGAATCTATACTCAGTTTAAGGTGTTTTTTACTTTTGATGGTCATTATAATGATGGGCACCTGGATACAATTTTTCAGCCCCAAGAGTAACCAAAAGTGAGGTTCGAAATAGAAATAATTATAAAACAATTTATTTTTACATACAAAAATTTTCATCAATAGATTCTTACAAATTTACCGGTGTCTAATGTTGTTTAAACAATTAATTATTGAATAAATTATTTTTAACAAAATTAATGTAACAATTTGAACTATAACAACAAGGATGATTACTTCGTTTGTCTGAAAAAAGAGGAAAATTTTTTTTATAATTCTGAAAATTATTCAAATTGAGTTCTGGAATTTATTCTATTTTCTAAAAATATTCTGAAATTTTTTTCCTGATATTCTGAGACTAAATTCTGATTTTTTAAAATATTCTGAAATCCATTTTTATTTCCAAAAATAATCTGAAATCAGTTCATATTTTAAAAAAATATTCTAAAATTTCTTCTGACTTTTAAAGAATTTTGATCTTTAAAAATTTTCAGAATTTTTAAAATTTACCGTCCACAGCCCTTCATGCCTCATATTAACATCCTCATCCCTTCCATAACCAATAGCATTACGTAATTGAGAATAATATGTTGAAGGAGAAATATAAGAACTTCTTCTAAAATCACTCATACAGGCTAAATTTTAAAATTTATTTTTTAATTAGAAGAAAATTTTTTACTTTTCCCATTGCATTGATTTTGTTGTTTTTCATTGTTCATATAGCGTTGATATTGTGATAAAGGGGGAGGTGGATAAAACCCATTCCCATCAGGTCTAATTGTAGTCGGTTGAATTGAGGTAGCGACAGCTTGAAGTTGCTGAGAAAGACGACGCAATTCTTTTTGAAGTTCATTAATCTTTAAATTTGAAAAATTTTATTTATTCTGATTTTTTCAGAACTTTAATTCTGATTTTTCTGATAATTAATTCTGAGGTTTATGAAAATAATTCTGATTTTTTCGAAATTAATTCTAATTTTTTCTGATATAAATTCTGATTTTCTGAGAATTAATTCTGATTTTTCTGAAATTAATTCTGGTTTTTCTGACACTAATTCTGGTTTTTCTGACAAAATTCTGATTTTTTCTCAAATTAATTCTGATTTTTTCAGATATTAATTCTGAAAATTATTATATAAATTCTGATCCCTCTGAAATCAATTCTGATTTTCTAACCCAAATTCTGATCCTTCATATGATCCAAAAATTATTTTTAGGCTGTAGTGTAGTGTACCGGTGGTAAAAGTTCGGGATGTGACATATGTCATTCGATTCGTCTCGACGAGCTGAGTCGAACGGTACCACTCCCTACTTTAGGAAATGATTCTGGACCGAGTTATAGGTCCCTGAAAATCGAAACACCAAAGGGGGGAGTAAGCACTTTTTTGGGGTAAAAAATTCGAATATGCAAATAATAGCTCATTCGAAAGAGCTCGCCGAGCTGAGTCGAATGACACCAAAATCAACGAAATCTGACTTTATTTGATAAAGTTATGACCGTTTGTTTTAGCTCCTTATCTATCGCCTCTGTAGAGGTTTTTGCTGCTACCGGGCCCCAAGTACATCCAGAGCAAGGGAGATAGGAATAGGGTTATGTTACGAGCCCAGACCCGGCGCCCGTAGACTCCCCGCGAGGCGCGTGCCGCAAAACTCCGCGCGAAGCGCGGAGTTTTGCACAAGCGCCTCGCCGATGCCCCATAGGTTTAAGTTGTTTATTTTTGTGTTGTAACTTTATCTAAACTTGTTTAATCCCGGTGATTTTGGTGTCATTCGACTCAGCTCGGCGAGCTCTTTCGAATGAGCTATTATTTGCATATTCGAATTTTTCACCCCAAAATCGAGCTTACTCCCCCCTATGGTTTTTAAATTTTTCGGGACCTATAACTCGGCCCAGAATTATTTCCTAAAGTTGAGAGTGGTACCGTTCGACTCAGCTCGTCGAGACGAATCGAATGACATATGTCACGTCCCGAACTTTTACCACCGGTACACTACACTATATCCTTATTTTTAAAAATCAGAATTTAATAAAAACAAACACACCTTTTGTTCATGTTTAGCAACATTTTCAGCTGTTGTTCTAGTTATTTTCTCTTGTCTTGCTACAACTTCTTCAGTTTTTGTCGCCTTTTTATTTAGCTCAGTTAAATGTTCAGTAGTTATAGAAAAATTTTGTTCTAGAAGTGATATCCGCTTATTTAATTTCATAAATATTGATTCTTTGCTGTTGGTGCTGGTTCCAGGCAATGGTCGACTAACTGTTAAAACAAAAATTTTAAAAATGTTTGTTTGAATTAAAAACATTTGTTTGGATGTTTTAGCATGTTTTTGGATGTTTTTGGGTAAATGTTTTTGCTTGAAACAATCAAAACATTATTATAATCAATGTTTGTTTCACTTTTCTGTTTTATTAATGTTCGGTTCATTTCATGTTTTTGTATGTTTTAATGTTCATTTCACATTATTGATGTTCGTTTCAACATTAATAATGTTTTTTTCATTAATTCTTATGAAACTTTGTAAACACAAAATGAAATGAACATTAATAAAACAGAAAAGTAAAACAAACATTAAAAATAATGTTTTTGTTGATTAAAACACAAAAACATACAACAATCAACAAAACATTATTAATTAAACAACTGAAACGAACATCAAACAAATGAAATGAACATAACAACAATGTTTTTGTTGATTAAAACACAAAAACATACAACAATAGACAAAAACATTATTAATTAAAACTAGAGCCCGGAATTTCGTTCCGTACCGTATTCCGTACCGTAATACCGTATAATACCGATACCGATAAATACCGATGAATTTAAAAATTTTACCGTTCCGTATTACCGATACGGAATACCGAAAAATACCGATAAATACCGATAAAAATGAATCGGTATTCCGTACCGTATTTAAAAAAATTAAACAATATTTTTTATATATAATAATCAAAATTTAAAATCAATTAAAGGTAAAATACGATTAAGAAATATAACCATCTCTGCTTTTCTTGGACCAATACTCATCCGACGATATGTAAAAACATCACGTGCAGTCGAGAATAATTGCTCAGATGGTACACTAGTAGCCGGTGGGCTAAGATATTTCCGAGCAGCTTCAGATAATAAAGGAAACTTTTTTTGATTACTTTTCCAAAAATCGAGTGGATCAGACTTAATTGACTCTCTAGCCATTGAACAATATTCATCGAATTCTCTTCTCAGGTTTGGTGCTGTCAGGTTTGGTGCTGTTCAGAAATGCGCTTTCCAGTATGAGAACCAGGAAAAGAATTGATACATAAAGGGAAATGTTTCTTCTGCCATTTTGAATCAATTAAATGGACAGTGAGACTAAACTGGTATATATGATTAAACTTCAAAAAACCTTAAAAATGATTCAGTTGGCCCAGACCATATATCAGTTGTAAAAGAAAGAAAATTTGAATCCGCCAGCTCCAGCATTATTTTACGTTTTACAGCATCATATGCCTTTGGCAACACAGTTTTCCTATAATAATACATGACTATAATTTAAAAAAGAGTGCAAACCGGTAATGTGACTCATCCCTTAACTTATCTCGGAAAACCGCACGTGTTGTCTTATGATTTAGGGATAAAAATGATGTAAGATTGCAGCACACATAGCTTATAACTCGTTTTTCAGCACTTGACAAACCACCTATTAAAAAATAAGCCAAATAATTAAGAATAATCTTGCCTCCGCTCTGAAGAACAAATTTTTCCATTGTTCCTTTTTCCTCATCAACTGAATTTTTCTTAAAAAGGTTTAAATATTCGCTGTCACTGTGAAATGATTTCAAATGAACAATTAAGCCTGATGTACTTCCCTTATTCAGCGAAAAGACACTCTTTTTTCTTTCTTTTTCTTTGCAGTCTAAGCACACCGCGTTGCTTCCTTCTTCTGTTCTTTTAAAAAGACCAATTTTCCAAATAGCCGATTCCTCTTTTGGCATTTTATACAAAAAATAATTATTATATGTAAATACATAATTACAAAATTAATAAAAATCGGTTCAAAAAGATTTTTTGATAAAATTTTGTTTAAAGGATAAAAGTATATATTCAAAAAGTTAGGATCTTGATAATTGGGTGGCGTCAGCTAAGATGGACAAAATGTCATTTATATCGGGACAAAGTGTCATTTACAAATAGGCGGCAATTTAAATGAATTTCCCTTAAAATAAAATAAAATTTAGAAAAATTTTATCGGTCGGTATCATCGGTATTTTAGTTTTTCCGTACCGTATTACCGATACGGAATACCGATAAATACCGATACCGAAAAATACCGATAAACTTTAAAATTTTATCGGTCGGTATTCCGTATCGTACTACCGATACGGAATACCGATAAATACCGAAAAATACGGCCGTAATACGGTACGGTCCGGGCTCTAATTAAAACAAGTGAAATGAACATTAATAACAACATGTTTTTGTTGATTAAAACAGAAAAACATACAAAAACACTCACTAAAAACATTTCTATTATTAATGTTCGTTTCACTAATTTAATGTTTTAATATTCGCAACACTACAAAAACATTTTGTTTCTTTTTTACCTTTCTCATCAACAAGAGTGGGCGTGACTTTTTGTTGTTGTTGTTGCAATTTCATTCCAACATTCTCCACAACATTCTCCACAACATTAGAATTTAATTGTTGCTTGTTTTGTTGTTGTTGTTTTTGCTGCCCAACATTGTTTGTTTCACTCTTTCTGTTGCTACAAGTTAACGGCAAAGAAGGCAGAGGGCAAAAAGACGATGTTTGACGACGCAAAACTTTGTCAAGAAAATAATTTTGAAATTTATTTGCCCCATTAAATTTTTTTGTTGAATCAAACAAATATTGTTGTTTATGTTTTATAATTCTATAAATATTTGGAAAAAATGCCCAACAAAATAGGGTTAAATAATTTAAAGTTGAAGCATGTTTTGTTGAGAAGCATTGTTGGCAAGAAGTGAAGGTATACCTGTTTTGAAAATTAAAAAAAAAATTTTCTTTTGAATTTTTTTAAAAATTTTATTTTAATTAGGGAATATAAAAATAAATTATTCGAAAAAATCCAAAATTAAAAAAAAATTTCGAAAAAAACCAAAAAAATTCTGAAAAAAATTTTTTATTTTGAGGGTGACATTTCATCCCATCCACAAAATTTTTAATTTTTTTAAAATCAAAAAAAAAATCTGAAATGATTTTTGAGAGATGACAATTGATCCGATAATTTTTAGAAAATCAAAAAAAAATTTTAGGGAAAATTTTCAGAAATTCTTTGGGGGATGACACTTGATCCCAATCTCTTTTTTAGAAAATTTAAAAAAATTTTTTCCCTTACCTCAACACATTTTTCCTTCTATTAAACACATCCTTTTTATTCCTCTCCACCTCATTTCCATTATTATTTTTAGAAAATGCTTGTCCAATTACATTTTTTATATTTGATCCCAATTGTTCTACAATTGTTTTTAACATATTTCCACCTCCTGTTGCTTCTTCTTTTTCCAATTTTTCTTCCTTATTTGCTTCGTTTGAAACATTTTTTGCTGCAAAATTAATTTCTTCCTCCTTTTTAAGGCCATTTTTGGGTATTTTTTGTTGATTTTCTTCTTCTTGTATCTAAAAATGGAAAGATTAGAGAGGGACAATTGATCCCAAAATCCAAAAAAAAATTATAAAAAAAAATTTTTTTGAATAAAACAACGACAACTATGACATTTAGACTTATGACAGTGTGACCTATAAAATGACCCAATAAGCTACGCTCAAAAATTTCCAGAAAAAGTTTCCAAATAAAAAATGGGTGACATTTTATCCCAAATTCGACCCTGTCCCAAAAGAAGGGCGGAATCGTTTTTTCATTACCTGCAAGGAAAGGAAAAATAGAGACGAACGGACTCGGACAAACCAAACATTGACGGACTCGGACAGACAAAACACGGACGGACTCGGGTCGGTCAGACGTCCTCTGGCCCGTCCATGTTTTGTTTGTCCGTGTCCATCCGTCTCATTCTTTCTTTCCATCTTTCTCCATTTTTCTTTTCCTTGCAGGTAATGAAAAAAAAACAATTCCGCTCTTCTTCTGGGATAAGGCCCCAAATCCTATTTTCCCTTCAAAAAATTAAAATAAATTTTTTTAAAGAAACCTTGCTACATTCCTTTATTGTTTCATTAATTGTAGTAACATTTGTACTATTTATTTCCTCCTTTTTATTATTTAAATTTTCATCAATTTGTGGAGTAAATTGTTGTTGCTGTATTGTGCTACTACTAGCAACTTCAGCTTCATATTCTTCAATTATTGAAGTTCCATAGACTACAAATGTACTTAAAGTACAAAAATGTTCATTTCCATAATGTGTTAATAATTCTAACTAAAAAACAAAAAAAAATTTTTTTGCGGATTTTAGAAAATGTCCGCAAATATTTGCGGACACAGCTTTTGTGAGTCACATTTGCGGACTCGATTTATTTTTAAGGGGTTCAAGCCAGAATTTCTTAAAATGGTGTTTTACAATATGGATAAAAATTTAAAAAAAATTTTTGCGGATTTTAAAATTTGTCCGCAAAATGTTTTGCGGACAAGCATTTTTGGACCCATTTTCTTTTTAATAATTTTAAGACTAGAGTGTCTTACAAATGAGATATTATTACTAAAGAATGGATAGAATTAAATAAAAAAATTTAAATTTTTTTTAAATGTCCGCAAAAATATTTGCGGATTCACATATGCGGAAAGAGTTAAAAATATAAAATCGAGTCCGCAAATGTCAATAATGATTTTTAAAATGCTAAAAAAATTTTTTTAAAGGAATGTGCCAAAACGATTAAAAAATAGGAGACAAGCATTTGAGTTTCCTTCCCGTAGTCTTTAACGTAGTTTCGTAGGAGGAATTTAGCCACCCCTCTCCTCCTCCTCAAATTAAAAAAATTTTTTTTTGACTGATTGTGAGACCTATTGGTGAGAGGCAAACTCTTTAAATGTGTATAAATCTCCAAAAATTTTCCAGTATATCTCTATTTGTCTTCGATTCTTTTAAAAACAAATAAGTCCGCAAAATGAGAATCCGCAAATATTTGCGGATTTTAAAAATGTCCGCAAATATGTAGGGAACTGGTTTAATTTTAAAAATTTTGTTTAAAAAAATTTTTAAATAAAACTAATTGGGCAAATGTACACAATTAATGAGGGATGACATTTGATCCCAACTCTATTGAATCTCACTTAAATTGGGTCCGCAAATAAAAATCCGCAAATATTTGCGGATTTTTTAAATGACGAAAAATTTTCAAAAATTTCCAAAAAATTTTCAAAAAAATTTCCAAAAAAAAATTTAAAAAATCACAAACCTTAACAAATCTAATATACAAAGTATTTTGTTGTTTAACATCAAAAGATTGTAATTTTCTAATATTTTGTGCCTCAAAATCGCCAATTAAAATCCATTCTTGTGTTGGATATCTTTCACTTCCCCATAAACGAAAATCTTTTGGATTTGAAGAGAATAATTCAAAATTGGCAATTTCAAAAGAATTGAGCTTTAAAAGAAAAAAATTTTTTATTTAATCAAATAATGTGAGGGGAAGACATTTCATCCTAAATCTCCAAAAATTTCTTCTCCCCAAAAAATTGATTCCACGATAAAAATATGAAAACTGGGAACAGAACAAGGCCAATGCATTTTCAAACATCTTAAGATACTCAATATGATTTTTTCTTCAAAACTGATGTACAACTAGCCTAGGAAAGGGCCAGAAAAAACTCCCAGAACATAAACATAACATCATAAACAAAAATTAAAAATCAGACATTATTTGATAAAAAAGCAAAATTTCCAAAAAGGAAGTGGAATTATGGGTTGCAACATAAGATCTTGTTTCCTGTCTGATCTCTAAATGGTTCTTCTTTTTTTAATTTTTTTCGACTTAATTTTATATTCGAATCAATTTTGGGAAGAGAAAATCACACAAAAATTCCTCTAGTCTCCTTCCCTCCTTACCCATACTTTCCCAGAAAAAAAAATTCAAAAAGAAAAACCTGTATAATCTCACACAATTCAATAATTAAAAATTTATTTTGTGCACGTTCACAAGGATTCCTCATATAATCATCCCTTTCAGGGTCGTTTAATATTGCCCCCTTATTTTCTGCTTCCTCGTTTGAATATAAAACTTTGGCTCCACATTCTTTAGAAGCATAATTTCGTTTTGAATGGGGGTGTTGTTGGGTGCTTTCCTCTTCTTGGGAGGTAATTGACAAAGTTGTTGTGGTGGTTGAGGTTGTTGAGGTTGCTGGGGAGGTTGGGGAGGAAGAAACTTCGGGTTGGGCAGACGTTGACTCTATAGGCGATTCTAGGGATGCCTCTAAGGATGCTTTTGTGGAGGATTCAGGGACTTGTTGTTTTTGTGAAATTGTTGAATGACTGAAAAAATTGAGAGGGGTTATGAAGCAGAGACGGGGAAGGATTGACATGTGAAAAAAAATTGGATCTGGTTTAGAGTCGAGTTTTCAATTTTTGGCTGTAGTGTAGTGTACCGGTGGTAAAAGTTCGGGACGTGACATATGTCATTCGATTCGACTCGACGAGCTGAGTCGAACGGTACCACTCCCCATTTTAGGAAATAATTCTGGACCGAGTTATAGGTCCCGGAATATCGAAAAACCAAAGGGGGGAGTAAGCTCGATTTTGGGGTGAAAAATTCGAATATGCAAATTATACCTCATTCGAAAGAGCTCCTCGAGCTGAGTCGAATGACACCGAAATCAATAAAATCCGACTTGATTTGACAAAATTATGACCGTTTGTTTTAGCTCCTTACCTATGGCATCTGTGGAGATTTTTGCTGCTACGGAGGCCCCAAATACGTCCAGAGCAAGGGAGATAGGAATAGGTTTATGTTACAAGCCCAGACCCAGCGCCCGTAGACTCCCCGCGAGGCGCGTGCCGCAAGACCCCGCGCGAAGCGCGGGGTCTTGCACAAGCGCCTCGCCGACGACCCATAGGTTTATGTTGGTAGTTTTTCTATCGTAACTTTGTCAAAACTTGTGCAATCAAGATGGTTTTGGTGTCATTCGATTCAGCTCGACGAGCTCTCTCGAATGAGCTAACATTTGTAGAATCGAATTTTTGACCCCAAAATCCCCCCTATGGTTTTTGACCATTTCGAGCCCTATATCTCGACTCAAACTTGTTCAATCAAGCTGATTTTGGTGTCATTCGACTCAGCTCGAGGAGCTCTTTCGAATGAGGTATAATTTGCATATTCGAATTTTTCACCCCAAAATCGAGCTTACTCCCCCCTATGGTTTTTCGATTTTCAGGGACCTATAACTCGGTCCAGAATCATTTCCTAAAATAGGGAGTGGTACCGTTCGACTCAGCTCGTCGAGACGAATCGAATGACATATGTCACGTCCCGAACTTTTACCACCGGTACACTACACTATATCCCAATTTTTTTTATAATCGGGTTTCGAGTCAGGTCAGTATTTGTGATTAAGAGAAGAATCAGAAAAAAAGAGCCAAGTCGGGTTTTGGATTTCCTCCCAGCCATAGTATAAAATTTTCCCTTCTAAAAATTTTGAAAAGGTATAAGCTGTCTTGAAGTTCTCGAGAATGGAATTAAATTTCCGCCTAACCCAGAAATCAAGCGGGTGTTTTCTACTGACCAAAAAAGATAGCAAGACAGAAAAGAGCCGATTAATCCCTCCCCTGTGAACAGGTCCATAGCCAGGATTTTTCCGGGGAGGGTGGGGGCCAAGGGGATGAAATTTTCCCCTGGCTATGGGCCCGCTTGTGAATATCAACAAAATAGATTTACAACAAGAATTTTTTTCACAAATAGGAACTAACTATAGTAAACTAAACGGAGGCCCGTAGAACCCAAAACAATTTAAAAACCTTTTCTCTTCAGATTCCTGTTGCTGCTCCCCTTCCTTCTCTTCAGTCTTTACATCCTCCAATTTATTGTCTAAAATAAAATTTTTCAAAATAAAACTTCTTTAACAAAAAAATAAACCTCCTTTTAATTCACCAGCCTCGTCCTTTTCCAAATTTATTTTTGCCTCTTTTTCCGCTAGATCCTCAACAAAAGAAAACATTCTGCCTCTACTCAACAACAACAATATTAATAGAATAATTGGGGTTGAAATAAATATATTTTGGTGTCTATCATTGTTGTAGTTGAAATGGAATAGTGGCGGCATTTTCTAAAAAAATAAAAAAATAATTAGAAGAAAAATACGCACAAAAAACGCCGAAAAGCTACGGACAAAAATTTCGGGCTAATAGACAAAACGCCAAAAATTCCAAAAAAAATGGACAAAATGCCAAAATTTGGAAAATACTTCGAAAAGCCCAGCATTTCGGAGTTATAAAAAAAGGGAAAAAATATATGTATAAAAAAGATTTAATTAAAAGATAAAGCATCAAAAATTAAAAAATAGTGCATACAAATAACACGTCATATGACGCGTCATGCATAATAAATATGAAAAATAAAAAGATTAAAATTATTAAAAATAAAACTGAATGGAGAGAGGCTTTCTTCAATTTTTCTCCAGAAAGTCCGCAAATTTTGGCCGCAAGATTTAAAAGAAAATTTAGAAAAATTTAAAGAAAAATTTGCGGACAGAACTTGCGGACTTTCAATAGAAAACTGAAAAAAGTATAACTAAAATATTTTTCTAAATTTACCTACTGTTCTATACACTCTGTGCCATCCTTTTATGAAATTCGCTTGCGGACAGAAAAAATTTGCGGACAAAAAAATTTGCGGACAAAAAATTTGCGGACGAAAAATTTTTGCGGACAGAAAAAATTTTGCGGACAAAAAAATTTGCGGACGAAAAATTTTTGCGGACAGAAGATTTGCGGACAAAAAACTTGCGGACAACAAAATGCGGACAGAAAAAGTTTGCGGATTTGGGACCATAAGTAAAACAAAACCACCGTAGATCCCAAACCTCTTGAAAATAGTCATTGTTTCAACACAATTAATTGAAAACAATGGAAAAGAAATTAGGAAAGAGCCATGGAAGCACTTCAAAAAAATAAAGATAAAGAATCACAAGGGCTTTACGCGTGATTGACAAGAAGAGAAAAATCATAAGCTAAAAATATTTTAAAAAATGGGGTTTAATTGACCATTTTAAATCATTAAAAAATATATAAAAATAAAAAATATTTATTTTTTAAAACGCAGAAAAATAAGTAAACCTTTCAAATCAACCTCTTTTTCATTTTATCATTTAAAAAAATAAAAGTAAAAATTGGTGAATCAATCCAAGTAACATTTTTTTTTCAAAATAAAGTCAAAATTTTTAAAATAGACAGTGAAATCTCTCTATAACGACATCCTTCGAGTAAAAATTTCTGATGTAAGGGAGACACTCCTTTGGACGAAATTTGGTTGACTTATGTAAGAGGGAAAGTGTCCAGGGAAGAGGAGTCAAATAAGAGGTCAAACAGACCAAAACACAGCCCTCTGGACCTAAATTTAGAGCCGAATTTAAGGTGACTACGAGAAGGAAGCTGTTCTAAGAGGGGTGTCGTAATAGAGAGGTTCCACACAATTAAAGATAAAATAATTGTTTGTTGGTTTTACTATAATATAGGCGTAACCAGAAAAATTAATCTTAAAAATTTTCTAAAAAAATTTTTCCCGAAATTTCGCAATTTTTAAAAATATTATCTGATGTGTTTCTGATTACGCCTACAATTTTGTGTCAACTTAACTTTTAATTTTTTAAAAAAACAAATATATATAGGTGTGTTTAAATAATGTCAACAATGGTTTTGTGTATATGTCGTGTTTATATAAACAAGCGGAGAAAGAGGGGATTTTTTTCGAGAAAGGAAATCAGTTAAATTTTAAAAATCCTCCAACACTTAGATTGAAAAATCAAAGAGGATTAATACATTTTAATTGTTTTTGGGTAAAGAATTTAGATGGAAAAAATTTTTTAAAGAAATTTTGAAGAAATTTTTCCCAAAAATATTTTAAAAAATTTCCCCTTCAAAAAAAATTTTTTTATTTCTTATCAACATCCTATCATCCTTAAAAAATCAATAACAACACATTCCCTCCCTTACTTTAATTTTAAATTAATTTAATTCCTTCCTCAATAAATTCCAAAAATGTTCTCCCATCTCTCCGCTTATTTATTTTTTACATAAAAATATTTGTGTGGTTTGGTGTATTTTCTTAAAATTTTTTTGTCGGTTTCAAAATTTTTAAAATAAATTTTTTAAAATAAAATTACATAAAATATTGTTCAACTTGAAAAAAAAATTCTTGTGTAAAAAACCTTTTCAAAAAAGTCATTTTCAATTTTCCTCCAAAATTTTCCCCCAATTTTCCATCCAACCTTTCCAACAATTTTTCTTCTATTGACGTTGACCTTTACCTCCAGAACGATTTCCTCCTCCCCCACCAATACGTCCAACACCACGAAGTCCACCAGAAGACAAACCACGTCCACCTAAAGCCATATTACGCTTTGTTGGATCTATACGACGCCAAACATAACGCATCATTTCACGAAGTTTTGTATTGGTTTCCTTTAAAAATTTAAATCATATTAATTAAAAATATATTTTGTGAAGAATTTCTCAAGTAGAAAAATCAGAAAAAATTGAAACATAAAAATTAGAAATTATTTTAGTGAAATTTTAAAAAATCAGAATTAATCCCAATTTTGGTTTATAGGGGGGGGGGTCTTGTGATTTATTATTTTACAGATTTTTCAGAAGCAGAATATTTTCTGATTCTTTTTATACTCTAGAATTTCTGATTCTCATGTTCTGAATTTATAAATCAGAATTTACAATGTTTCTGATTTTTCAATTCTGATTCCTAGCCTAATTCTGATTTTCACTTTACTGATTTTTCAAAATAAGTATTTCGGATTTTTCAGAACCAGAATTTCTGATTTTTCAAACCCAGAATTTATTCTGATCTTTATATTCTGAAATTAAAACCAGAAATAAAAAAATCAGAATTTCTGATTTTTCATGTTTCTACCTTATAAACAAGAATATTTACTTTTTCTGATTTTTCAGAACCAGAATTTCTGATTTAAAAATTAAAAACCTCTTCCTCCTGTGGTCCATTAAATTGATGTGTTTTCTTCAACTCATGACGCAAATTCATCAAAATTTTCCCTCCTTCATTCTCGCCATCCCAAAAGACTGGCTTGTTGGATTCATCACGGTTTTTACGCCAACCAGTGCCGAAAAACTTGGAAAAAAAATTTTTTTTTTGAATTTTAAATTTCAAAAATACCTTATCCTCCGAAGCTACAGCCAAATAAGTCGTCTTTGTAAGCACAAGAAGATTACATATCCAACGAACTTGGTCAAGTTTTAAACGCTGTCCTTCTTCCCAAATGTCATGTTTAACCTTAAAAATGTGATTATTAAAAATCAGAATTCTTGATTTTTGAAATCAAAGTCTAGAGTTATCAGAACAGAATTCTGGCCTTAAAAACAGGAATTCTTCTAATGTCTCAAACCCCTCCCCTTTCAAAATCAGAATCCAGATGTGATTTTTTAAAAGCTTGAATGGTTATTTATCAACCCAGAATCCCCGTATTAAAAACCGAAATTCTGACGTTCGAAACCAAAATTCTGATTTTTAAAACCCCAGACACTAATTAAAAAATCAGAATTCTGATTTTTCAAACCGTAATTCTGATTTTTAAAACAGAATTTCAGAATCCAGACGCATCAGAAAAGTTTTTAGTATTAAAAACCAGAATTCTGAGACTTTTTAAACAATTCTGATTTCTAAAAACCACGAGACTCTGATTCTTTAAAACAAGAATACATACATTTCAAATCGCAATTCTGATTTACTAGAATTAAAATATTAATTCAGATTCTTAAAAACCAGAAATTTTGTTTAAAAATCAGAATTATTGTGTATTAAAACCAGAATTGAGATAATTCTGATTTTTTAAAAACCAGAATTTGCTATGTTAAAAATCAGAATTCTGATTGCTAAAAACCAGAATTTTCGATTCCCTAAAATCAGAATTCTGTTTCTTAAAAATCAGAATAAAAATCAGAAAAATAAAAATCAGAATAAAAATCAGAAAAATAAAAATCAGAATTTTCGATTCCCAAAAATCAGAATTCTGTTTTTATAATGAAAATAAAAAAAACAACAAACAAAACCTCATCCCAAACTTTGCTGTCAAACTTTTGAATATTCTTAACAGCTTCCTCAGCAGTTTGAACATTTGGTGCCTGCATCAATTTCTTCTTACATTCCTCATCCCCAAACTTTTCAGCCATTTTATACCAATAAAAACGCTCAGCAGATTTATGTTCAATACCTTCCTTGTCTCTAATAGTAACTTCAAAACGAAGACTTAATGGGTCTAAAATTGAAAGGGGAAATTTTATAAATTAGGAAAAATAAATTTAGAAATTAAATCCCCTTAAGTCAGAAGAAAATCAGAACAAAATTAGAAAAAAAAATCAAAAATCAAGGAGACAAAAATAGGACCCAAAATATTTAATGAAAAAATTAGAATCAGTTGGATAACATTAAAAACGTTTAATAAAAACGGGATTTCTCTTCCAGGTGTTCTAAAGTTAAGCTTAGGGAAAGCTCAGATCCTAAGACAATCTAGCAGTTATTATGGCTATAAGTAGAAGGTCCTGGTTTGTTTGGAGGTCTACGTAAAAGTTATGTTGTTGGAAAAAGAAATCGTTCAAGAAGGAAAAAATCAACGTCAATAAAATCTGTCATGAGGCAAGTGAGCCGACAGTCTACCGACTAACACCCCCCCCCCTCAGGACTACCTGAGCTACTTTCACCCCTAAACACAAACCTAATTCCTAAACCCAGCCTGATTCCCCTCCCTTAAACCTAAAAAAATTTTTAAAAAGAAACCATGTATTCCTCCAATCAAATAAAAGTCTCGATTAAGATCGTCATAGTCATATTCAGATTCTGGAGCTCGCCCATCGTCAACATCAACAAGCTTTTCATTTGTCAATTTGCCAACTTTTTCATTTAAAGTTTTAATTTTAAGCTTCATACGGCCATTTTCAAGCTTAAAAAAAATTTTTTTTTAGTAAAGTTTGGATTAGTGGGGCCCCTTCGAAGACTCACTGACTCAATTTAGAAACTTTTTTTGGAATTTATCTAGGGCATAGCCACAATATACGCATCGGCCATCTTGTCTAATCTCCCCCTGGTTACGCCCTTAGACCCTATTATGAGGTGTATGCTAAATTGAGGGTACCGTCTTGGTAACTACACCACCCAACGGCCAACTAAAATTTTTAAAAGATATTTTAAGTTGGGGAGTATTTAATTATTGGGCTATTTTATGAGGTTTCCGAATAGAGATCCCATCAAACCCATTAAGAATTAAAAAAACCTTCAACTTGCGAATAGCCTTACGCAAACTTTCCTGAAAAAATACAATTTTAAAATAAAAAAAATACTCTAAAAATAAACCTTTTCGTTTTCCAACAAGATGACTGCATTACGAACCAGCATAGCATCTTGCTTGATTATTGCAAGCTGAAAAACAAAAAAAATCATGGAATACTTTTTTTTTGTTAGGTCCCCCTTATTTTAAAACAAAATAAGAAAGATAAACTAGCAATAAAGACGCCTAAAAAATTGGAGGGAAAAATGAGGGCACTCAAACTGAACTAGTATTTCCTAGAACTCCTAACCCCATAACTTTTACCCAAACCCTTCCACCAAAAATTCACTTAATATTTTTATACTTAAAATTTTAACCTCGTTTTGGATGTTCACATTCACCGCCATACTGAAGTCAAATTCTTTAAAATTTCAAAATTTAAATTTGTAAAATTTCCTGAAAAAAAGAAAAATTAAAATAGAATTAAAATTGTTTTCCACCACCAACAAACAAAGGAAGACCACCAAAAGGGTTCGAACCTTTGACCCCCCTAGTGTGAAAATGGGAACTTTCCAACTACCCAAACTATACAAGTTTGGATAAAGTGATGGGGTAAGGAAGGGGGATTTCTTGACAAATTAGTAAGCATTATGGGGATGTAGAAAATTTTGATTTTGGGGAAAATGTAATTTAATCGATTGTGGGACCAAATGTCACTCATTTGTCAGTTGGTTTTTGGGACGAAATGTCATTTTTTGGCAAATTAAAAAAAATTTTCCCTCTTTTTCAATGCCACAGCGAACGAATTATTAAATAAATTTTTTTACAAAAAAACTAAATCGATTTTTATAATCGTTCGATGGGAAATAGTGTAAATTTCTTCCTTTGTTTGTTGGTGGTGGAAAACAATTTTAATTCTATTTTAATTTTTCTTTTTTTCAGGAAATTTTACAAATTTAAATTTTGAAATTTTAAAGAATTTGACTTCAGTATGGCGGTGAATGTGAACATCCAAAACGAGGTTAAAATTTTAAGTATAAAAATATTAAGTGAATTTTTGGTGGAAGGGTTTGGGTAAAAGTTATGGGGTTAGGAGTTCTAGGAAATACTAGTTCAGTTTGAGTGCCCTCATTTTTCCCTCCAATTTTTTAGGCGTCTTTATTGCTAGTTTATCTTTCTTATTTTGTTTTAAAATAAGGGGGACCTAACAAAAAAAAAGTATTCCATGATTTTTTTTGTTTTTCAGCTTGCAATAATCAAGCAAGATGCTATGCTGGTTCGTAATGCAGTCATCTTGTTGGAAAACGAAAAGGTTTATTTTTAGAGTATTTTTTTTATTTTAAAATTGTATTTTTTCAGGAAAGTTTGCGTAAGGCTATTCGCAAGTTGAAGGTTTTTTTAATTCTTAATGGGTTTGATGGGATCTCTATTCGGAAACCTCATAAAATAGCCCAATAATTAAATACTCCCCAACTTAAAATATCTTTTAAAAATTTTAGTTGGCCGTTGGGTGGTGTAGTTACCAAGACGGTACCCTCAATTTAGCATACACCTCATAATAGGGTCTAAGGGCGTAACCAGGGGGAGATTAGACAAGATGGCCGATGCGTATATTGTGGCTATGCCCTAGATAAATTCCAAAAAAAGTTTCTAAATTGAGTCAGTGAGTCTTCGAAGGGGCCCCACTAATCCAAACTTTACTAAAAAAAAATTTTTTTTAAGCTTGAAAATGGCCGTATGAAGCTTAAAATTAAAACTTTAAATGAAAAAGTTGGCAAATTGACAAATGAAAAGCTTGTTGATGTTGACGATGGGCGAGCTCCAGAATCTGAATATGACTATGACGATCTTAATCGAGACTTTTATTTGATTGGAGGAATACATGGTTTCTTTTTAAAAATTTTTTTAGGTTTAAGGGAGGGGAATCAGGCTGGGTTTAGGAATTAGGTTTGTGTTTAGGGGTGAAAGTAGCTCAGGTAGTCCTGAGGGGGGGGGGTGTTAGTCGGTAGACTGTCGGCTCACTTGCCTCATGACAGATTTTATTGACGTTGATTTTTTCCTTCTTGAACGATTTCTTTTTCCAACAACATAACTTTTACGTAGACCTCCAAACAAACCAGGACCTTCTACTTATAGCCATAATAACTGCTAGATTGTCTTAGGATCTGAGCTTTCCCTAAGCTTAACTTTAGAACACCTGGAAGAGAAATCCCGTTTTTATTAAACGTTTTTAATGTTATCCAACTGATTCTAATTTTTTCATTAAATATTTTGGGTCCTATTTTTGTCTCCTTGATTTTTGATTTTTTTTTCTAATTTTGTTCTGATTTTCTTCTGACTTAAGGGGATTTAATTTCTAAATTTATTTTTCCTAATTTATAAAATTTCCCCTTTCAATTTTAGACCCATTAAGTCTTCGTTTTGAAGTTACTATTAGAGACAAGGAAGGTATTGAACATAAATCTGCTGAGCGTTTTTATTGGTATAAAATGGCTGAAAAGTTTGGGGATGAGGAATGTAAGAAGAAATTGATGCAGGCACCAAATGTTCAAACTGCTGAGGAAGCTGTTAAGAATATTCAAAAGTTTGACAGCAAAGTTTGGGATGAGGTTTTGTTTGTTGTTTTTTTTATTTTCATTATAAAAACAGAATTCTGATTTTTGGGAATCGAAAATTCTGATTTTTATTTTTCTGATTTTTATTCTGATTTTTATTTTTCTGATTTTTATTCTGATTTTTAAGAAACAGAATTCTGATTTTAGGGAATCGAAAATTCTGGTTTTTAGCAATCAGAATTCTGATTTTTAACATAGCAAATTCTGGTTTTTAAAAAATCAGAATTATCTCAATTCTGGTTTTAATACACAATAATTCTGATTTTTAAACAAAATTTCTGGTTTTTAAGAATCTGAATTAATATTTTAATTCTAGTAAATCAGAATTGCGATTTGAAATGTATGTATTCTTGTTTTAAAGAATCAGAGTCTCGTGGTTTTTAGAAATCAGAATTGTTTAAAAAGTCTCAGAATTCTGGTTTTTAATACTAAAAACTTTTCTGATGCGTCTGGATTCTGAAATTCTGTTTTAAAAATCAGAATTACGGTTTGAAAAATCAGAATTCTGATTTTTTAATTAGTGTCTGGGGTTTTAAAAATCAGAATTTTGGTTTCGAACGTCAGAATTTCGGTTTTTAATACGGGGATTCTGGGTTGATAAATAACCATTCAAGCTTTTAAAAAATCACATCTGGATTCTGATTTTGAAAGGGGAGGGGTTTGAGACATTAGAAGAATTCCTGTTTTTAAGGCCAGAATTCTGTTCTGATAACTCTAGACTTTGATTTCAAAAATCAAGAATTCTGATTTTTAATAATCACATTTTTAAGGTTAAACATGACATTTGGGAAGAAGGACAGCGTTTAAAACTTGACCAAGTTCGTTGGATATGTAATCTTCTTGTGCTTACAAAGACGACTTATTTGGCTGTAGCTTCGGAGGATAAGGTATTTTTGAAATTTAAAATTCAAAAAAAAAATTTTTTTTCCAAGTTTTTCGGCACTGGTTGGCGTAAAAACCGTGATGAATCCAACAAGCCAGTCTTTTGGGATGGCGAGAATGAAGGAGGGAAAATTTTGATGAATTTGCGTCATGAGTTGAAGAAAACACATCAATTTAATGGACCACAGGAGGAAGAGGTTTTTAATTTTTAAATCAGAAATTCTGGTTCTGAAAAATCAGAAAAAGTAAATATTCTTGTTTATAAGGTAGAAACATGAAAAATCAGAAATTCTGATTTTTTTATTTCTGGTTTTAATTTCAGAATATAAAGATCAGAATAAATTCTGGGTTTGAAAAATCAGAAATTCTGGTTCTGAAAAATCCGAAATACTTATTTTGAAAAATCAGTAAAGTGAAAATCAGAATTAGGCTAGGAATCAGAATTGAAAAATCAGAAACATTGTAAATTCTGATTTATAAATTCAGAACATGAGAATCAGAAATTCTAGAGTATAAAAAGAATCAGAAAATATTCTGCTTCTGAAACCAGAAATAAAAAAATCAGAATTTCTGATTTTTCATGTTTCTACCTTATAAACAAGAATATTTACTTTTTCTGATTTTTCAGAACCAGAATTTCTGATTTAAAAATTAAAAACCTCTTCCTCCTGTGGTCCATTAAATTGATGTGTTTTCTTCAACTCATGACGCAAATTCATCAAAATTTTCCCTCCTTCATTCTCGCCATCCCAAAAGACTGGCTTGTTGGATTCATCACGGTTTTTACGCCAACCAGTGCCGAAAAACTTGGAAAAAAAATTTTTTTTTTGAATTTTAAATTTCAAAAATACCTTATCCTCCGAAGCTACAGCCAAATAAGTCGTCTTTGTAAGCACAAGAAGATTACATATCCAACGAACTTGGTCAAGTTTTAAACGCTGTCCTTCTTCCCAAATGTCATGTTTAACCTTAAAAATGTGATTATTAAAAATCAGAATTCTTGATTTTTGAAATCAAAGTCTAGAGTTATCAGAACAGAATTCTGGCCTTAAAAACAGGAATTCTTCTAATGTCTCAAACCCCTCCCCTTTCAAAATCAGAATCCAGATGTGATTTTTTAAAAGCTTGAATGGTTATTTATCAACCCAGAATCCCCGTATTAAAAACCGAAATTCTGACGTTCGAAACCAAAATTCTGATTTTTAAAACCCCAGACACTAATTAAAAAATCAGAATTCTGATTTTTCAAACCGTAATTCTGATTTTTAAAACAGAATTTCAGAATCCAGACGCATCAGAAAAGTTTTTAGTATTAAAAACCAGAATTCTGAGACTTTTTAAACAATTCTGATTTCTAAAAACCACGAGACTCTGATTCTTTAAAACAAGAATACATACATTTCAAATCGCAATTCTGATTTACTAGAATTAAAATATTAATTCAGATTCTTAAAAACCAGAAATTTTGTTTAAAAATCAGAATTATTGTGTATTAAAACCAGAATTGAGATAATTCTGATTTTTTAAAAACCAGAATTTGCTATGTTAAAAATCAGAATTCTGATTGCTAAAAACCAGAATTTTCGATTCCCTAAAATCAGAATTCTGTTTCTTAAAAATCAGAATAAAAATCAGAAAAATAAAAATCAGAATAAAAATCAGAAAAATAAAAATCAGAATTTTCGATTCCCAAAAATCAGAATTCTGTTTTTATAATGAAAATAAAAAAAACAACAAACAAAACCTCATCCCAAACTTTGCTGTCAAACTTTTGAATATTCTTAACAGCTTCCTCAGCAGTTTGAACATTTGGTGCCTGCATCAATTTCTTCTTACATTCCTCATCCCCAAACTTTTCAGCCATTTTATACCAATAAAAACGCTCAGCAGATTTATGTTCAATACCTTCCTTGTCTCTAATAGTAACTTCAAAACGAAGACTTAATGGGTCTAAAATTGAAAGGGGAAATTTTATAAATTAGGAAAAATAAATTTAGAAATTAAATCCCCTTAAGTCAGAAGAAAATCAGAACAAAATTAGAAAAAAAAATCAAAAATCAAGGAGACAAAAATAGGACCCAAAATATTTAATGAAAAAATTAGAATCAGTTGGATAACATTAAAAACGTTTAATAAAAACGGGATTTCTCTTCCAGGTGTTCTAAAGTTAAGCCTATTTTTGTCTCCTTGATTTTTGATTTTTTTTTCTAATTTTGTTCTGATTTTCTTCTGACTTAAGGGGATTTAATTTCTAAATTTATTTTTCCTAATTTATAAAATTTCCCCTTTCAATTTTAGACCCATTAAGTCTTCGTTTTGAAGTTACTATTAGAGACAAGGAAGGTATTGAACATAAATCTGCTGAGCGTTTTTATTGGTATAAAATGGCTGAAAAGTTTGGGGATGAGGAATGTAAGAAGAAATTGATGCAGGCACCAAATGTTCAAACTGCTGAGGAAGCTGTTAAGAATATTCAAAAGTTTGACAGCAAAGTTTGGGATGAGGTTTTGTTTGTTGTTTTTTTTATTTTCATTATAAAAACAGAATTCTGATTTTTGGGAATCGAAAATTCTGATTTTTATTTTTCTGATTTTTATTCTGATTTTTATTTTTCTGATTTTTATTCTGATTTTTAAGAAACAGAATTCTGATTTTAGGGAATCGAAAATTCTGGTTTTTAGCAATCAGAATTCTGATTTTTAACATAGCAAATTCTGGTTTTTAAAAAATCAGAATTATCTCAATTCTGGTTTTAATACACAATAATTCTGATTTTTAAACAAAATTTCTGGTTTTTAAGAATCTGAATTAATATTTTAATTCTAGTAAATCAGAATTGCGATTTGAAATGTATGTATTCTTGTTTTAAAGAATCAGAGTCTCGTGGTTTTTAGAAATCAGAATTGTTTAAAAAGTCTCAGAATTCTGGTTTTTAATACTAAAAACTTTTCTGATGCGTCTGGATTCTGAAATTCTGTTTTAAAAATCAGAATTACGGTTTGAAAAATCAGAATTCTGATTTTTTAATTAGTGTCTGGGGTTTTAAAAATCAGAATTTTGGTTTCGAACGTCAGAATTTCGGTTTTTAATACGGGGATTCTGGGTTGATAAATAACCATTCAAGCTTTTAAAAAATCACATCTGGATTCTGATTTTGAAAGGGGAGGGGTTTGAGACATTAGAAGAATTCCTGTTTTTAAGGCCAGAATTCTGTTCTGATAACTCTAGACTTTGATTTCAAAAATCAAGAATTCTGATTTTTAATAATCACATTTTTAAGGTTAAACATGACATTTGGGAAGAAGGACAGCGTTTAAAACTTGACCAAGTTCGTTGGATATGTAATCTTCTTGTGCTTACAAAGACGACTTATTTGGCTGTAGCTTCGGAGGATAAGGTATTTTTGAAATTTAAAATTCAAAAAAAAAATTTTTTTTCCAAGTTTTTCGGCACTGGTTGGCGTAAAAACCGTGATGAATCCAACAAGCCAGTCTTTTGGGATGGCGAGAATGAAGGAGGGAAAATTTTGATGAATTTGCGTCATGAGTTGAAGAAAACACATCAATTTAATGGACCACAGGAGGAAGAGGTTTTTAATTTTTAAATCAGAAATTCTGGTTCTGAAAAATCAGAAAAAGTAAATATTCTTGTTTATAAGGTAGAAACATGAAAAATCAGAAATTCTGATTTTATAAACAAGAATATTTACTTTTTCTGATTTTTCAGAACCAGAATTTCTGATTTAAAAATTAAAAACCTCTTCCTCCTGTGGTCCATTAAATTGATGTGTTTTCTTCAACTCATGACGCAAATTCATCAAAATTTTCCCTCCTTCATTCTCGCCATCCCAAAAGACTGGCTTGTTGGATTCATCACGGTTTTTACGCCAACCAGTGCCGAAAAACTTGGAAAAAAAATTTTTTTTTTGAATTTTAAATTTCAAAAATACCTTATCCTCCGAAGCTACAGCCAAATAAGTCGTCTTTGTAAGCACAAGAAGATTACATATCCAACGAACTTGGTCAAGTTTTAAACGCTGTCCTTCTTCCCAAATGTCATGTTTAACCTTAAAAATGTGATTATTAAAAATCAGAATTCTTGATTTTTGAAATCAAAGTCTAGAGTTATCAGAACAGAATTCTGGCCTTAAAAACAGGAATTCTTCTAATGTCTCAAACCCCTCCCCTTTCAAAATCAGAATCCAGATGTGATTTTTTAAAAGCTTGAATGGTTATTTATCAACCCAGAATCCCCGTATTAAAAACCGAAATTCTGACGTTCGAAACCAAAATTCTGATTTTTAAAACCCCAGACACTAATTAAAAAATCAGAATTCTGATTTTTCAAACCGTAATTCTGATTTTTAAAACAGAATTTCAGAATCCAGACGCATCAGAAAAGTTTTTAGTATTAAAAACCAGAATTCTGAGACTTTTTAAACAATTCTGATTTCTAAAAACCACGAGACTCTGATTCTTTAAAACAAGAATACATACATTTCAAATCGCAATTCTGATTTACTAGAATTAAAATATTAATTCAGATTCTTAAAAACCAGAAATTTTGTTTAAAAATCAGAATTATTGTGTATTAAAACCAGAATTGAGATAATTCTGATTTTTTAAAAACCAGAATTTGCTATGTTAAAAATCAGAATTCTGATTGCTAAAAACCAGAATTTTCGATTCCCTAAAATCAGAATTCTGTTTCTTAAAAATCAGAATAAAAATCAGAAAAATAAAAATCAGAATAAAAATCAGAAAAATAAAAATCAGAATTTTCGATTCCCAAAAATCAGAATTCTGTTTTTATAATGAAAATAAAAAAAACAACAAACAAAACCTCATCCCAAACTTTGCTGTCAAACTTTTGAATATTCTTAACAGCTTCCTCAGCAGTTTGAACATTTGGTGCCTGCATCAATTTCTTCTTACATTCCTCATCCCCAAACTTTTCAGCCATTTTATACCAATAAAAACGCTCAGCAGATTTATGTTCAATACCTTCCTTGTCTCTAATAGTAACTTCAAAACGAAGACTTAATGGGTCTAAAATTGAAAGGGGAAATTTTATAAATTAGGAAAAATAAATTTAGAAATTAAATCCCCTTAAGTCAGAAGAAAATCAGAACAAAATTAGAAAAAAAAATCAAAAATCAAGGAGACAAAAATAGGACCCAAAATATTTAATGAAAAAATTAGAATCAGTTGGATAACATTAAAAACGTTTAATAAAAACGGGATTTCTCTTCCAGGTGTTCTAAAGTTAAGCTTAGGGAAAGCTCAGATCCTAAGACAATCTAGCAGTTATTATGGCTATAAGTAGAAGGTCCTGGTTTGTTTGGAGGTCTACGTAAAAGTTATGTTGTTGGAAAAAGAAATCGTTCAAGAAGGAAAAAATCAACGTCAATAAAATCTGTCATGAGGCAAGTGAGCCGACAGTCTACCGACTAACACCCCCCCCCCTCAGGACTACCTGAGCTACTTTCACCCCTAAACACAAACCTAATTCCTAAACCCAGCCTGATTCCCCTCCCTTAAACCTAAAAAAATTTTTAAAAAGAAACCATGTATTCCTCCAATCAAATAAAAGTCTCGATTAAGATCGTCATAGTCATATTCAGATTCTGGAGCTCGCCCATCGTCAACATCAACAAGCTTTTCATTTGTCAATTTGCCAACTTTTTCATTTAAAGTTTTAATTTTAAGCTTCATACGGCCATTTTCAAGCTTAAAAAAAATTTTTTTTTAGTAAAGTTTGGATTAGTGGGGCCCCTTCGAAGACTCACTGACTCAATTTAGAAACTTTTTTTGGAATTTATCTAGGGCATAGCCACAATATACGCATCGGCCATCTTGTCTAATCTCCCCCTGGTTACGCCCTTAGACCCTATTATGAGGTGTATGCTAAATTGAGGGTACCGTCTTGGTAACTACACCACCCAACGGCCAACTAAAATTTTTAAAAGATATTTTAAGTTGGGGAGTATTTAATTATTGGGCTATTTTATGAGGTTTCCGAATAGAGATCCCATCAAACCCATTAAGAATTAAAAAAACCTTCAACTTGCGAATAGCCTTACGCAAACTTTCCTGAAAAAATACAATTTTAAAATAAAAAAAATACTCTAAAAATAAACCTTTTCGTTTTCCAACAAGATGACTGCATTACGAACCAGCATAGCATCTTGCTTGATTATTGCAAGCTGAAAAACAAAAAAAATCATGGAATACTTTTTTTTTGTTAGGTCCCCCTTATTTTAAAACAAAATAAGAAAGATAAACTAGCAATAAAGACGCCTAAAAAATTGGAGGGAAAAATGAGGGCACTCAAACTGAACTAGTATTTCCTAGAACTCCTAACCCCATAACTTTTACCCAAACCCTTCCACCAAAAATTCACTTAATATTTTTATACTTAAAATTTTAACCTCGTTTTGGATGTTCACATTCACCGCCATACTGAAGTCAAATTCTTTAAAATTTCAAAATTTAAATTTGTAAAATTTCCTGAAAAAAAGAAAAATTAAAATAGAATTAAAATTGTTTTCCACCACCAACAAACAAAGGAAGAAATTTACACTATTTCCCATCGAACGATTATAAAAATCGATTTAGTTTTTTTGTAAAAAAATTTATTTAATAATTCGTTCGCTGTGGCATTGAAAAAGAGGGAAAATTTTTTTTAATTTGCCAAAAAATGACATTTCGTCCCAAAAACCAACTGACAAATGAGTGACATTTGGTCCCACAATCGATTAAATTACATTTTCCCCAAAATCAAAATTTTCTACATCCCCATAATGCTTACTAATTTGTCAAGAAATCCCCCTTCCTTACCCCATCACTTTATCCAAACTTGTATAGTTTGGGTAGTTGGAAAGTTCCCATTTTCACACTAGGGGGGTCAAAGGTTCGAACCCTTTTGGTGGAAAACAATTTTAATTTTCACAAAAAAATAAATTTAAAATTAGAAAACAATGAAAAATGAACAGAAAAAATTTTTCTTTGGTCAAAAAACCAAATTTCATAAAAATTTTAAAAAAATAAATTAATTAACTTTTTATTAGTCAAGCACTTTTTTTAGCAAATTAAGAAGCAAAAAAAAAGAAAAAAATTTTAACAAAAAAGAGTACATAATTAATGCAAAATTAGTTTTGTGCAATAATTAATTTCAAAAATATAGAATTCGAGGATATATAATTTATTAAATATAATATAAGGTTGCGTCAGAAAACTTCAAATTTTTGCGGACAAAAAACTTGCGGACAAATCAACTGCCTTATTTTTACTTTGCAAATAAAATTTTTATGGATATTTAGGAAGGGCTTAAAACAATAGAGACTTGCGAATAAATTTTTGCGGACAAATCAATTGCACTTAAAAAGCGTCAGAAAAAATTTCAAATTTTTGCGGACAAAAATTTGCGGACAAATCAACACCCATTTTTTCCCTTGCCTTCAGACTCATTGGGGCATTTAAAAAGGTTTTATTTTCACATCCTAGATTTTTAATAAACCCAAAAAATTTAATAATTCATTAAAAACCAAAAAAATGCGCAAAAAATGTCCGCAAAAAAATTTGCGGACAACTTTTTGCGGACAAATCAATACCCTCATCTTTCCCATAGCTAAAGACCTCATCTTTCACCCACTCTTTTCACATTTTTAAATAAATCCAAGGTTTGTTTAATTTTTATGGAGCACCATAACAACCTCACTTAATTTGTCCCTAAAAATATTCATGACGCAACCCCTTCAAATAATTTTGGAAAAAAAATTTCTTGCGGACAAAAAAATTTGCGGACAAAAATTAAAAAGTCAAAAAATTTCTATCTCCTAAAAAACTTTCCGTTCAAAAAATAAAACCTTTTCACAAAATTCTTTCACTCAGTCTTTTTAGTTTTTAACAAACTCGAATCTCCTTCTCCTCCACCTCCTTCTTCTTCCCCATCACTAACTTCCCGAATATCATCAACACCATTATTTACCGATTTAATTGCAATTTTAAGTAAAATATAAGTCCAAAAGAAGTGAAGAATTAGCAGAAAGCACAAAATTAAGAGGAAAACACGTGGAATAATTGGTCGTTGTAATAAATTTCCCCAACTATAAAAAATTTAAAAAAATTATTTAAAAATCTAATAAAATTCAAAAAAATTTAAATGCGATAAAGACTCATTTCGGTCAAAATTACAAAAACACAGAAAACCATTGAACACCTCCTTAAACCTTAGAACCCAAAAATATTTTATGAAAATAGTCGAATTGAAAAAAATTTAAATCAGTTCAACACTCGTTTTGATCAACATTTAAAAACAGCAAAAAATCATCGAATATCAACTAAAGCCTTGGACACGGTCACGCCCAAAACGGCGTTCGAGCTAAACCTGTCCATCCCGTGACAATAGCTTATGGAAAATTTTTTTGCCGTTTGGCCCGCGCCGTTTTGGGCTGCCCCTTGGACACCCCAAAATTATTTTTGAAAAATATCTTAAAAATCCAAAAAAATTTAAATTAGGTCAAAAATCATTTCGGTAAAAATATAAAATATCAATCCCAAGCCTAGGAAACCCCAAAAATATTTTTTAAAAAATTCCTAAAAAATACAAACCGATAAGATTCCTGTATTAATGTTGGTCCATCAAAAATCATACACCGAAGCATTACAAATGGAAAATAAAAAAGTCGAGTTGATATCCAAACAAACATAAAAACACTAAAGTCAATGGTTACAGCTTTGTCCCAACCAGCATAGCGAAATAGCTTTCCAAGTTCTCTAAAAAAGATAATTTTTAATGAAAATATGGTGGTCTGAATTAAAATTCTTTATCGATGTTTTTTTCGGTGCCATGATAAGCTAACGGCTCTGGTTTATTTTATGAGTTTACTAAAAGTTTATGAGTTCAATGAAGCTCTATGAGGCTGGTTATTAGACTCAAAAAAGTTCACTGGACTTATGTCATTGAACTTATAAAAATTCAATGAACTAATAAAAGTTGACTGGACTCATAAACCAAACCAGAGCTACTCCAAACAGTTCTTAAAAGATCTTAGGCAATTAATCAGAACCTGACCGCCTTGGAAGAACTGATAAAAAACCAGAAACGGATAGGACACTTAATCAGACGAAACATGAGGATCGGAACGAAAAGATCCAAAATAAAATCCCCAAAAAAATTTAAAAAACCCTACAAAAAAATATCCGCACAGTCATGGATCAAAAGAATCATGGATCCAAATCGTACAAAATTTACGGTGAAACTCATAGCCAATAAAATAATCGTAGCCATATGGTGCAAAGCCATTTCAATGTGATCTGATCTTTTTACATCAAAAGTCAAAATGCTTAAAATGAGGGAAATGTAAAAATTTTGAAAAAAAACAGTAAAATAAACCTGAAGATCAATGACCAATAAAATCCAGTTTGAATAACATAATACCACCAAACGGGGCTGAAAAGCATATAAATTTAGGACGAATATAATAAGAAGCTAGATATTTGAAATGGAAGGCAGGACAGTCATCGCAAGCCGAGCCTACGTTAAAAACCAGCACCCCCTCACTTCGTCTCAAAAATTTTCATTGACCAACTTGATCCAACTTTTATAAGCCTAACTATAAGCTCCCCAATTATCGCGAGCCAAGTTTACGTCGAAGACCCAGCCATCCGCCGAAAAATTTTCCTTGTCCAAGTGTCTGTCTTGATCCAACTTTTATAAGCTTAATTATAAACTCTACTATTAACATTAAAATGCGTTAGACTTGATTATATTCAGGATAGATGACAAAATTTATTCTAAAAGAGTTAAAGATTCTGAAAACTTCGAAGTTTGCTTCCGAACCGATAAACTCCCTAGGCCCCCCGCGAAAAAATACTTTGGCTACGGCCCTGCCTGAGACCCCAAAAAATTCGCATTTGAGAAAAAACTTTAAAAAAATTACGTTGGCAAATGATGATTAGGCCAATTCCTGAAACTTTCAGCAATAAAAGTAAATTGTGGTTGATCACGAAGAATGTAAAAACCAGCAATACAAATACAGGAATAATAAGTAAAACGCCATGCAGTCTCTGAAACCCGTTTGAATTTGCTACGACCGGCAAAACCAAAAAATAAATGCGAGTGGATTCGTTGTAGAAGAGTGTCCTGAAATTATGTAAAAAATGGGAAAAGTTTGGGTTGGTAAACTAGCTCGAAATTATTCACAGGCTTAAACAGTTTCTGAGAAACAGAAGCCTTGATAATGTTTGGATGGCCTTAGAGATCGGCCCGAGTCTGGATCAAGGTTTGGGTTTTTCCTGTACCCAGAGTTTAGGCCCAGGCAATTTTTGACCTTCCTGGGTTTTTCCTGGACTACAGGCCCAGGATAATAAATCAAACCCGGAACCCAAAAACAGGCCCATGCTTTTCAACTCGATTGAATTCATTTGAAGACAGAAATTATTGAAGGGTCTAGGGCTATGATTGACCCAGACCTTGTGAATGACCCCGACCTTAAGCAAGTTGAGAGAAAAACGTGTTCACCCTCCTTAACCCAGAGTCTATCAATTCACTAATTAAAAGGATTGAACCAACCCCCCCTCCTCCCCCCACAAAAGCAAACCTTTTTATTATCCATCCAACCAGAAAGATAGCCAACAGGAACAAAAATAAAAGCTTCAACCAGTATTCTCAGCAAAGTAATTAAAATCCCAATAAGCAAAGTATAGCCAAATTCGTGAAATTGTGGGTATTGGATTCCATTTTTGGAACGTAAATCTGACCAAGTAACATTTTCGGGTAACCAAAATTGTTCAGACCAAAACCAGTTTAGCGAGTTGAGATTACTCATTTTTTAGGCAAAAAGTACCTCCCTTCCTAGAAGAAAAAAAAATTGAAGAATGAGCGGTTATTAAAAAAATTTATTTAAGAAAAGGGACACGCCCAAATCGGCGCGCGGCCATAACGGCGCAAAGCCATAACTTGCTGGAAAATTTCTGACCCTTATCATTTTTGATACCAATCTCATTAGCTCGATGAGAGGAATCGTTTAATACTAAATTTGGTAAGATTCGGAGAGATTGAAGCAAGTTATGGCTTGGCGCCGTTATGGCTGCGCGCCGATTTGGGTTGTACCTTAAGAAAATCAACGAGACTTTAGAGGACTTTTAGAAATGAGGGAAGAGAAGAAGAAGTTGAACATAGAACAAGAGGAAAGAGAAAATAGAGAAAAAGAGGGAGAAAATAGCTCTAACTATTGATTTGATGGCGCTTCTCTTTTCGCGACTAAACAACGTATTTTGGGAAAAGAGTGGTACATAGCCGCGACTAAACGGGACAAAAAGACAGAGGTGAGTTGCGAATAAACGGGGTGTTTATGAAAAGAGTGTGGAGATGAGACAACAGAGAAAACGATTATTTCCTAATTATACATTATGCCAAAACATATTTTGCCAATAACAGTAAAACTTTAAATTTTGTCAACAAGGCCTTGATGACAAAAGTAAATTTTTACACTTATTGGCAAAATGGGAGTTTGGCGAAATATGTTTACTTGAATAGTTTTCCTTTGAGTCTCAGCAAATTTTTGAGTTGGTTGCGATTAGTTGGACTCAGTCACAAGAATTTTTTGAATTTTAAAATTTTGATTTAAATTGTTTTATTTTTTTTTAGCTTTGGTTTTCCTTATCTTTTAGATTTTAATTAAAGAATTGTCGGAGATTATTTATTGAATATGGACAAAGAATTGAAGGAGGTTAACGAACAAATCTCTAAATGTGAGTTAATTTTCTTTAAGTAAGTCGAATGTCGAAATTAATAAATTTCGACTTAAAATAAATTCGAAAAGACGTAAAATTTTAATATTTATTCTCAAAGTTTAAAAGTTTTAATAATTTTTTTGGGGGAAGATTTTTATTCTTAAAATTAAAAGTGAAGAGGAAAAAGATATTTTTGGGGCATTAGAATTTGCTTTTAAAGAAGGGTGAAAACAAGAATTGTTTTAAAAGTATGATTAAGTTGGAATATCAAAAATATGAATTATTTGGGAAGAAACATGAAAAGAATCATCGGAAAGATTATGAAATAATAATAAAAATAGAAATTGGAATTTTGTTAAAAAATATTAAAAATATAATATTATGAAACATCATTAAGTCGGGCCAGTCCCGACACTCCGGCGGAAACAAAATTTGTAGACAGAAATTAGAATTAAGCGAAAGAGTATTGGTAGGATGCAGTTGATTAGTAGAAGTAAGGAAATTATTGTTGCAATAAAAATTAAGATGTGCAGAGGGTTAAAAAAGAAAGAAAGCGTGTCCAATATGCTCGGTAAATTTATTTCTCCGAATTTTGTTTCATTTGTTTTTGTTTTTATCCAAATATCTGCTTTCTCCGCGCTCGCCAGGGCTAATGTTCCAACTAACTATAAAAAGTGCATGGAGCTGTAGCATAGAAACATCCTGTCATTGGCCAATTATTCATACCTTCGACACAACCTGTAATCCCCGGAAAGTTTTGGACTGCTTCTAATTCTAATATTGTTTCATTTACTTTAATTTCCGCGCATTTATTACCTTTACAACTTCCTGTTTCTGGGCATCTCTTAACACTCATTACATTCATTTCATATTCTCTTGTAAAAAATTTTGTTTTCTTTGCGCAGCGTGCTTCCGCGTTTAATATTTTTAAATTTATCATTCCTGCTGGTCTGTTAGCGTGATCCTCAAATAATATTTTGATTTCTTGTTCCCTAGGTAGAAAATTTAACTCAATCACTTTTTCAAATAAGCATGTCCGCTCTTTATTTTTATTTACAACACATTTTTCTTCCTGAGCGGTAATAGTGGTTAATTGAAGACTTTCGGGAATGGTCAAAAATATTAATACTATTGTTAATTTTATCGGATTTATTTCCCTTTTGGCTTTTATTAATTTTAGTTCACTTTCCTCATTTTTGCCCCGATTACTCTTTATATTATATTTTCTATAAATCCATCGCATTAATCGAAATTTAAAATTTAATAAGCAAAATGCCCCTCTGAATCCAAACACAATCACACGAAAAACAGTCATTATTATTGAAAAGAATATATAGAAAATTATTGCGAACAATATTATAGCAGTTTTTGAAGCACATTGTGGATTTTTAAGCAATTCTATACAAATATTACATTTTATAATTTCACAAATTACTTTAGCTTCACAATTTATCCCAGATTCTTTTACTAATTCTCCGTATCTCCAAAATTTAATTTTAATTTCATAATTTGAAACCAATATTTCTTTTGATAATGGAATTAATTCTTCCAATTTTGGGTGGGGAAAGAGCGCGCATCGATCATTTTTTACACATATCTCTACACTTCCTATCTCTTCTTGTGAAAATATTTTTACTCCCTCTTTGTGACATTCAACATGACATTTTTCACATTTTAAATTTTCTTTTCTTTCAAGAAATCCCCTAACTTTTATTTTTACACGACCCCAAGCCTTCAAAGCTATATTTCCATTATCATTTACTAGGAGAGAAATTTCATTTCCTGGGTAATAACAAAATTTTGTTCCATGTAGCTCACAGATATGGTCTAAACAATATTTAGGGGAGCCTGTAATGGGTCCGGTTCCTATACATTCATATTCTTCGGGTAGTGCTTGTTTTTCTTCAATTTTCATTTCCTTTATTATATGGAGAGAATTGTCAAATAATTGTATTTGATTCACTTCTATTAATTTTAGGGGCCCACAATTTTCAATTTTCTCACATTTTTCTAAAGCCAAACTTTCCAAAATCTTTTGAACATTTTTATTTTTTATTGTTGAATTTTTAGTACTGGGGCCATTATAAAAGGAACATGTTTCGGTCCATTGTGGGCATTTACAAGGTACATTACAGTTTTCAGACTCAAAATGTTCCTTTTTAGAATAATCACAATTAATTATTTCCCAACAAAAATTCCCATCGGGTGCTTTCATTATTTTTAACCCGTTGGTTGCGCACGTTTGCGACTTGACTAAAACATTCCTTTGTCCTTTTTGGCACGGTGCTCCAACGCTTCTCCCCATTAATATAAAAAGAATTAGTACCAGAGACATTAAAAAGACAGAAGTGTTCAGGAATTTATTTTTTGAATTTTTGCGGGAATTTTGTTTTTTCGAGTTTTGGCATTTTGTATTCATCTTTTCTGGCGACTTATAAATATCCGCAATTAACCTATTCATATCATTTCTGTTTCTTTCCGCTAATATTTTTAAATTGTCATAATCTTGTTTTAAATTATTATTTTCCAATTTTAATTTATTTATTTCCTCTTTTAATGGTTCAATTAAATTTATTTTATTTTTTATCCCATATATTTCTTCAGTTATTGACTCCAATTTACTTTCAATTTCGGGTATCTCTTTTATTTCCTCTTGTATTTTACTAGCTAAACTCTGCCCTTCTTTTTCCCAATTAAATTTTTGTTTATTTGTAAATATTCTATTTTTATTTGGATCAATTCTTTCAATTTTTGGCGGGGTGAAATTTCGTCTTTCGTAAAGGAATGGGCAAAGATTCATTTCTATTTCACTTGACACGTCACTTTCTAAATCGCTCTCTTTATAATTTATCTTTTTTCTAGTCCTTAATTTCATTTCGTGCATTTTAGTCCCTATTTTTTGATTTTTATCAATTATTTTTTCTTCGCATTCGGCCTTAAGTTCGAGTGGATACAACAAATCTATGGCCCTAGTTAATATTTTTCCTTTACATAGAACTTTGGCTACTCTTACAATATTGTCTTTTCCTTTTATTGTTTCAATTATTTTGGCTAAATTCCATAAATTTTTTGGCAATGATTTATCCTGTAAAAGAACAATTTCTCCCTTTTCAGGGACATAATTTTTTCCTTTATTGTGTTTGTATTTGTCGGCCCGCTCGCGTAGATATTGCAAGTACTCTTTATTCCAACGCTTCCAAAACATTTCAACCGCTTCTCTAGAATTTTTCCATATGCGGGTTAATTTTTCTTCTGGTTTCTCTCTTTCACAACTTCTTTCTCTTTCAAAATCTATATCAAAGTTTTCTTTATTTCGATTAGGTTGAATTGCTTTCATTGGGGTAAGAACTTCGACATTATCCCCTGGTTCATTGTACACATAAGTCAGAGGCCTAGAATTGACTACCTTTTTTACTTCAGCCAAAAGCGTTCGGAATTCTTCAGACTCTAATAATCGTTTACCAGTCGCAGCTTTCATTGCTGGTTTTACTATTCCAATAATTCGCTCATAAAATGCACCAAATCGAGGAGAAAGAGACGGGATAAATGTCCATTCAATAGTTTCTTTTGTTGAGAACTTTGTTATTTCTTTTACAACTTTTGATGTTAATTTTAGTTGGGTCCCATTATCAGAAAGAATTTTTGTGGGTTTCCCATATTCAGCAAAAAATCGGCGTAAAGCCATTATACAATTATTAGCTGTAAGGTCATTGACCATTTCCAAATGTATGGCCCGTGTCGATTCACAAACAAAAATAACAACATAAATTTTTCCGATTTCTTTATTTGCTTTTCGAATATTGTATGGGCCAAAATAGTCTATGCCACAAAATTGAAATGGATTAGATTTATTTACTCTTTCTTTCGGTAATGGAGCCATTGGGGGAATTTCAAATGCTTTTAATTTTAATCTAGAACAATATTCACATTTTTCTATAACTTTTTTCATAAAAGCTCTTCCTTTGGTGATCCAAAATTTTTCACGTAACTCGGCCAATGAGGCTCTTAATCCACTATGTAAACATTTTCTGTGGGCCTCCATGCAAATTAATTCGGCTATTTTCGACTCTTTTGGCATCCATATTGGTGGGGTA